GGCTGTAAAGCCTTTCCTGCATGAGCAGCAAAATGGTCGGAACGCTGTTGCCTTTGGAATCATAAGAGCATTGCATCGACTCTGGAGAGACACCGAAAACACTGGCACTGATACACGAGAAAAAAAAAACAAAACAAAACAGCATAAGTAAACAGCTAAAACAAACGCCAGGAACGAACCTTGCACTGGGAACTCTTCGGGGGATCTCGATCTCAAACTCCACCGGCAAGCCGAGAAAGCCATTGAACCTGTCAAATGTGACGTGCGTTACATGCCGGACGTTGGTAGGCCAGCCAATATCCATGGACGCAACCTCCTCCTCGGAAGCCTTGCATGTTAGCAAGGATCTTCTCAGCGTGTCCAGCACCAGAGCCAACATAGAGAGCTCTTCCCTGTTAGCCTCCTCTTCGCCTTCTCCACCTGCGAGCTGCTCGCCGCGGAGCCTCATCTTCTCCCGACGTATCACCAGATCTTCAAACTCCAGCGACAAATGCATGCCGTCAGTGGCCGCTCTTGCTGTGGCGTGAGTAGCGGGAAGATTGACCGGCGAAGAAGAAACTACACCCGAGTCTGACCGGGACCCTTCTTCCGAATCGGTGGTGTTGTGATCCGAAACAAAGAGCGGCGGCGAGAGACCCGAAATGCTGTAAGCATCGGACTCCAAGATATCTGGAGAGAAATGCCGGTGCGTGAGTAAATCCGCCATTGTCATTGGCGACGAAAGATTGGGAGCCTTCTCTCCTTTTGACTCTTCGTCAGCCTGTTCCTTCTTGAGATTTTGGCGATTTCCCTGCGCTACTAGTACCAGCCTCGCGTTGCTGTTCTTCTTGGTGGGTCTACGATCACTGTGCATCGAAAGAGGCTGCTACTTCTGTGATACAAAACAAGGAGACAAGATTTAGAACAACGAACTATATATCGAAAAGAAAAGCAGCTAAACAACCAACAAGCATGCATGCAAAAAACAGTCTTTTCCAAAAGCTTACAAGCAAAAGAAGCGAATTCTTCCGAGCAAGCTCACACAAGAACCTTCAATCTCTCGCAGAAATCACAGAAAAGACCAAGACCCAGCCTCGGGATCCAAAGACAAGTAAACAACGATAAAAACCATAGATAAGAAACGAAAAAAACTCACGAGGAGGAGACTCTCACCTGGGAGCACCTGCCCAACACCCAAATGCCGCGACCCATGACGAGCAGCAGTAGAAAAGAAGCCCTCTTTTTTATCCTGTGAGAGTGCTCTCCCGCGGACGAAATTTGTGACCATCACCGTTTTTTGGCTTTCTTGTGAGCTGTGAGAGCAGTCACATGTTACACTGCTCGAGCAGAGAAAAAAAAGAGAAAAAAAACCCAAGAATCGTGTGCGCGTGTGAGAGAGAGAGAGAGAGAGAGGGAGGGAGTTGCAAGAAAACGCCTCAAATCACAAGATTATCGATCACACGCACCCCACACACACCTGGAAATGCCAATGCCGACACACACCACGCTCTAATCCAGTCAATCGCGCAGCAGTACCTCAGCGGCGGCAGCTTTGTGGAGATCCTTGGCCCTATCTGCTTGGCGCCGCTCGAGATAATCGGAGAGCAGCGCTGCTTCTTGCGATCGGATTCCCGGCAGCCCTAGCCCTGCCAGGATCCTCCCGCGCTGCCGCGGCGACGAGGGAATGATCGGCGGAAGAACACAAGCGCTGGAAACAAAACGCGCAGTGACACCGCAAGACCTCTCGTCCTCCCTCTGCCTACATTGGAGCTCGAGCTAGAGCTAAAGGGTTGCTTAAGCTAAGCTACCAGATTAACTTAACCCTTTCGGTTAAACGTGGGCGGTTTTAGTGGTGTGTTTAACCGGTTTAATGTTTAATCCCACATGATGGGCATGGATGCGCATGCGCGTCACCAACATCCATGCGCATGGATGTCCCATCCTTTTGGCGGATTTTTCAAAAAAATAACCCGGGTAATTCGGTGGCCACAACTGGCCCAACGTGGGCCACCCTGGCCACCAACTGGCCAGGTAGATATAGATCTTATTACCATATGGGTAATAGCATTTCTTGGACAATCATTTTGTTGACAACTTCTTAGATATTATGGTATGATATTCTCTAGATGGGGCATTGTTTGCCACCTTTATCATCTCCACTGAGCCTAAAGTTCTCCACAAGGTTTTGGAATGATCTTTTTTTCGAATCAAAAGATAACGAGCAAAAATTTTTGGAAACCAAAAGCTGGTGGATGGAGGGAGCAAAAAGCAAACCTTTATACCCACGCTTTGATTCAAATTAAAGAGATCTTCTCACACAGAAAGAACACACATCTGCTTTTTCCAATTGTAGAGATTCCCTCGAAACTCCGAAAAGATACGTAGTCGTGTGTACACACATACGAGCGAGAAACAAACATCCATAGTTTAACTTAAGTGAAGCCTCATAACTCTACACACACCTCAAAGCGCTTGCTTGCTCGCTCTGGCTTTGAGAAGAACGCTTAAACATGTCTTGTGCTTCCTTCCCATGATCTTCCTTGTCTCTGCATCGATTTCTCATCCAAGCACGAAGACGAATCCATTGATCCGCGTAGCCGTCAATAGAGAGCGCGCTTCTTAACTGCGACGAGAAAACATCGCATCGATCTTCTCTGGGTCGTGCTGCGAAGACTCTTGTCTAGATCTCCTTCAAGCTCTCACCTTATTAAATCCAATCCAAGAAAAAATACTTATCTCTTCTCTATCCTTCCTTGGGGGAGCAAAAATAATCGCACGTCCTCTCTCCTCCTAGAAACCATGTATCTTGATCTGGTCCTTCTTGGCAACGCCAGCCTGAAAAGGAACCACGTCGAGAAACTTATAAGCTCTCAGCAGCACAAAATTTATTACTTTCAGCGATAGGACTGCTACGCTACTAGACAGACCTGTACCAGGAACTGGGAGACATTTTTTCGCTGGTCGCCCTGGAGCTGGATCACCTGCAAAAAAAGGAGAGAAAAAATTCAAAACGTACGACTTCTTCTCAGTGCCAGAATCCGTGCAACAGCAACCACACACAAGCAAAAAAACAAACCTGTCCTAGCTCTGTGTCGTCCACAACTGTCCCGTTACAGCAAAATTCCTGAGACAGTAAAACCAGTTCACTTGAAGGCTCTTAAGTAGATCACTCGAAAAGGAAAGAGGAAAAGAAGGGCTCTCACTCGCTTGAAGTCTTTGAGTATCCTGTTGTAGTTGAACTCTTTCTTGAGGCCCTGGACGGTGGTCAAGCTCTTGCGCCCATTCCTCTGCTGGATGCGAACATGAACGTATTCTTTGGACCCCGCTCCTTGGTCATCAACATTCGCTTCTGCGAACGGGTCTGCCGCATGGAGAATAGTTAGTAAATCGTTTGAGAGCGCTGCAAAAGGCTCACTCACCGAAGGCGCCAGGAATTTGGATATCAAAATCTGACATGAACCTGGGCGTAGATTTCTCCCCTTGGTTTCTCGGCTTTTAATCTGCCTTCTGGAGCAGGAGAGCTGGAAATTGGCAGCATTAACTCCGAGAGATCCAACAGGAAAAAAACAAATGCACCACAGTGCAACAAAAAGTAAAGTACAGAGCAAATGGAAGCCAAGTACTAGCAGCAAGAAGAAAAGAGAAAAATGAATACCCGCAATCAATCAAGCGCGAATCGCCAAGCGAGAAAATCACCACCACCAAGCGTTTCAAGAAACAAACGACTCCCAAAACAATTTTGCCCGCTTTTTTGCGCACTCACCTGGATGATCCGCGAGTCCCAAGAGAGTGACAACTGCCTTGCTCTCCCGTTTTTCTTAAGTTTTGCGTGAACAGCAGCCGTCCGTTGGCGGGCATCCGACGGCCCCGATGACGTCTCTTTCAACAAACTGAAACAGATCAGTGCTTGCAGAAGTCATGCGTGAAACGTGAGAGCCGCTTGGGCCTGTGAAGGTGGAAGAAGTTTGTTAAACCAGAGAGAGTAGGAATCACCGACCTCGTCCCTCACAGCAGTGCGCCATGAATTTTGATGGTCACTCCCTCCTCCCCGTCTTTAAGGAAAAGAGAGAGGAGAGGTCGCTTTTGGTGCCAGCCTCGTAATATTTGATCGATTGGAACACCTGACTCGATGACCCCGGCTGGCAACTGATGGGCTGTGGCGTCTCCAAGAGCGAAATGGACAAGCTCTCGACCGCTGGTAATTCTTTGGAGGCGCTGGATCTGGCACAGTTGAAGCTACTTATTGCGAAAAACTCCGGGATCCTGACCAAGCAAACGTTAGGGAACGAGAATGCGAGAGAAAGTGTAGTTTCGTTACCTGGTGAGGACGTAGACGATGGTGATGGTAGTGCTTTGCTTAGCAGCAGTGGTGACGATTCTAGCGGCACCAGTGCTGGGAAGAACAAACTCAGAAGTGAGAGAAACGATCATCAAAAGCAAGAGGGTGATAGTATAGCGACTGACCTCATTCCGAAAGCAGCGGAAGCGCTGGAAGTCGTCGTCCAAAACACTGGTAATGCTGTTCACGCTGAAAAGCTTGCAGCAGCTGTGGGAGTTGTTCTTGGTAGAAAAGCTCGAACGGATCCTCCACAATTGGATGAAGAAGAGCGAGCTCAAGTAAGTTTCTCACAAAAGTAGCATAATTTCCAAACAGTAAGCTATAAGTTCCTCAAGAAATAAAGAAAAAAATCCACAGCGTTACTAGAAATCTGAAGAACAATCCAGCTTACAGATTTCTTCGCAGGAAGCTAGCGGCATTCTCACACAGTCACAAATGCCTCAAGGTGCTGGAACATACCTCTAGAGCAAAAATTTACCAATTTCTTGCTTCGCGCAGGCGATTTGGAATCCATAGCTGACTCCGATCTGGAAGAAGCTTGCATCGACACCGAGATCGCAAAGATCCTTCTGGCGTGCTACCAAGATCTGGACGACTATGATCAAATGCAGGGCAGCGACACGGAGAAAGAAATCGAAGAGCTTGTAAATGGCGCCTAAATGACAAGAACCCTAGAATTCCTCTTAAACCCTAAATAAGCGAGCAAGATGGATGCTGTGAGCCCCGCTCGTCGCGATCACTTCAAGCCATCGGGTAAGATCTCGATCTCCTCCATTTCCACTCTCGCCTCATTGTTCAAGCAGTCGCGAGTGGAGCTGGGCAGAGGCGGCGCAAATTGGCGGTCGCGCTGAGCAAAGAGCGCCGGGATGCTGCCGTGCGAGCCAAGCGAATGCGCAGGAGCCAAGACGTGGAGGATGGGATGGAAATGTACTGCGAGGGCGACGAGGATTCGAGGATCGCCTTGGAGAATGACGTGAAATCGGCAGTGGCGGAGCTAGTCAGCGCTAGCCAAGACATGTAAGTTTCTTAGTTTTTGCTTGGAATGCTTGGGACTAATGCTAGCAGCTGCTTAGCTCCAAGGGAGCTTCTAATCGGAAGCTAGAAGCTCTTAAGAAGGTGAGGCGATTTCTTTCGTGCAGCTCTTTGCCGCCAGTGAGCGTTGCTGTGGAAGCTGGTCTCATCCCAGTGCTTGTGGAGTGCCTGAAATTTGGATCAAGCGAAGAACAGGTAAGTGCTCTACCTTTTTCTTCTTTTTTGCTGTTAAGATTTTTTTTCTTCTTTCTGCAAGCTGCTTGAAGCTTCTTGGTGTTTGACAAACATCGCTGTAGAGGATGTCCAGCAGCAAGAAGATTTGCTAATGCCCGTTCCTCTTCTCATTGCTCATCTTGGAGGTATGTGCGTTTTTGTTTTTTTTTTTTTTTTATGTGTATGACGACGTTTTTCTTTCCAGAAAATAGCTCTCTTCTTGTTGCGGAGCAGTGTGCATGGGCTCTGGGAAACTTTGCCGGTGACAGCGAGGAGATAAGAAAAATACTTCTTGCTCAAGGATCTCTTCGGCCGCTTGCTCGATTGGCCTTGTCTCAAAAAACGTCTGTCGCACGAACTGCTTGCTGGGCTCTGTCAAATCTCATCAAGGTAGTGTAACGCTTGACTTCGTTCTGATGAGTTTTTGATGCGCTCCTTGCAGGGTCCAAGCACGAAAGGTGCTTCGGATTTGCTTAGCATCGATGGCATTCTGCCAGGTCTCGTTCAACACTTGCATTCAAAGTAAGATGATCGTAGTTTTTGGTTTGATACACTTTTGATTGTTTATATTCCAGGGATGAAGATTTGGTTGCAGAGACGGCGTGGGTCCTCGTCTATATCAGTGCTCTCGCTGATACTAAGCAGCTGATTAACGCTACTTTGCTTCGACCTCTCGTGGAGTGGCTGGCAACATCCAACCAGCTTACAGTTCTTACCCCTGTAAGTTAGTTTTTGGTCTTGGTCGCTTGTTTTCTCACTATCTTGTTTTAGGTGCTACGAGTTATTGGGAACATAGTTTGTGGAGACAACAAGATGAGTGATGGCGTGATTGCTGCTGGCTCCACTGTCCCTGGTAACATTATATTTTCTATATCCTAGGAGCTTTTACCGAGAGATATCTTCCAGGTGGTGTTGTTGGAGCGCTTGTCCGCTGCTTACAGACGAATCATAGAGCGTTGCAGAAGGTAGACTTTTGGTCTTCTTTCATGAAAACTCATCACACTCGAAACAGGAAGCTGCGTGGGTGATCTCCAACTTAGCTGCTGGATCCATGCAGCACAAAGAGCACGTCTTCCCTGTAGCCTGTGGTCCACTGGTGAATCTGCTCGCGACAGCCAGCTTCGACGTGAAGAAGGAAGCCGTCTACGCGCTGGGAAACCTCTGCGTGATGCCGAAAGAAGCAACAGCAGCACAGACAGCGTCACAGCCCATCCACGCTCATCTCTCGGCGCTCGCCCAATCCGGCTGTGTTGCCGAGTTCGTCAATCTGGTGAAGTCGCCCGACCCGGAGGGATCGAAACTCGGCCTCCAGTTCCTGGAACTGGTAAGCGGATCAACCATTTTCTTCCTTCGCTGACACGAAGCTCTTTGTTCTTCCTCCTCACAGGTGATGCGCTGCCTCCAAAACGGCACAAAGCTCGTGGAAGGTTGCGATGGGATGCTGGCGATTGAGATGCTCCACTTCCACGAGAACGATGAGCTGAGAAACATGGCGAATCACCTCCTCGACACTTACTTCGGTAGCGAGCTCGAAGAAGAAGAAGAAGAACACGCCTAGAGCTCGAAGAAAAAGAAGAACTCGAGCGAGCTCCAAGAAGAGGAAGAACTCGCGTAGAGTTCCTGTACAAGTGGTAGAAACGCTATTGATAGTTTTCTCTGTGTAATCGCCGAAACAGTAGAGAAGAGAATCATCATCGAGCGCGAAGAAGAGTTCTACGTTATACATAGTTTTTATTTTTTGCCTTGAAATTTTTACCGCATTGAGAGGTAGCATTTAAGCTGTTAAGCAACACTAGGGTTCTTCGTCTTTGTGCGCGGGATGGGGGACGCTAGCGCCGTGGCGCCCGGGGGCGACAGCAGCAAAGGTAGTGCCAACTTCGATTCCTACATTGGAAGCCTCATCAGCCTCACATCCAAGAGCGACATCCGCTACGAGGGCGTGCTCTACACCATCGACGCCGAGAACTGCAACATCGCGCTCCAAAACGGTAGGCTATGGCGATATTTCTCTAGGGTTGGAGCTCGGGAGCTCACGAATCCGTGCGCTCTTGCTTTGTTTCCAGTTCGTTCGTATGGAACCGAAGGGAGGAAGAAGGAAGGGCCGCAGATTCCTCCCAGGGATAGCGTCTATGACTACATTATTTTTCGTGGGTCGGACATCAAGGTATGGATTTCTTCCGTGGTTTCATTGTTTCCTCTCTGATTAGTTTCTATCTTTTTTTGTGCCTCTTTCCTTTCCAGGATTTACAGGTGAAATCTTCTCCGCAAGCTCATGCGGTCCATTCGCAGCCTTACAACGATCCGGCGATCATTGCTCAGGTGAGACTTCCATGCTGTGATGATACGAGGTACTAAGCTGTCAAGTTTTGTTTTCTTTCAGTCTCAGCAGCCCCAGAAAGCGCAACGAATGTCTCAACCCATTATGGCTCCACCGATAGGAATGCCACAGCCTCCAAGCGGAGGTGTTCCACCACCTCAAGTTCCAGCGGGGTTCTCGCACGCTCCAGCAATTCCCCATCCTCCAGTGGGAATGCCACCACCGCGTGACTCACAGGCGCTGCTGCCACCGGGTTTTCTCAGCTCGTCATATCCGCCAGCAGTCGGCTTGGGTGCATGGGGTCCTCGTCCGCCTCCGCCCGTCGGAAACGCACTCTACTGGCCGGGATACTATCCACCACCTAGCGGAAACGCAATGCAGCCACCGTATTTGCCATCGCAGCCGCTCTTACCTCCTGACCAGCGGCCACCGCCTCAAGTTAGTCAGCCGAGCTCGACACATCCAACAGGTCCGCCGGAGACGGAGAAGCCCCGCGAGACTACTTCCTCGGTTGGAATGACGGCGATATTGACACCGATCGCCAAGCTCCCACGGCTGCCGTCTGTTTCTCAGGCACCATTGGATTCCTCTCAAGAGTTGAAGAAGAACACTCCCACTCCACTCGAGCAACCGCCAGTGGAAGGGGTGGAGCCATCGAAGTTACAACCTGCCGAAAACTCTCTGCAAGAGTCATCATCTCACTCCAAGGAGCAGCAGGTGCGAGTAGAGTTTTGTCAATGTCTTGGCATACTTACGTGGTTTTGGCAGGCTAACAACGGACCTAGGCCTGAGAACTTGAGGCACGAGGGTCCGAGGCACGATGGTCCAAGGCACGAGTACAACGGAAGGTATAACTGGCGAGGAAATGGAAGGCGCGGCGGAAGGGGTCGTGGGGTATGTTTACTCGAGCTTTTCTTCTTTCTTGTGGTATTTATTTTGATATCATGGACAGCCTTCTCAACGTACGAACTTTACGGAGGACTTTGATTTCATGGCGATGAATGAAAAGTTCAACAAGGACGAGGTTTGGGGTGAGCTTGGAGGAAAGGTTGAACCAAGGAACGGAGAGGACGAGCCTGTGAGCGAGAACTGGCAGAAACCGGAGGACGGGAAAAAGGTACGAATGACGCTTTGACATTATGGATCACATTTCTGATAAAGCTTTGCATTCAGCCGGTATACGTCAAGGATGACTTTTTCGATTCTCTCTCCTGTGACACTCTGGATCGTGAGGGTGGTACCGAGCGCCCCAGATTTTCAGAGCAACGTAAGATCAACACTGAGGTTAGTCGAGTGTCAGTGCTTGGTTTGGGTTCTCACTCGGTTTCTTTGATTGATAGACTTTCGGGGACGCTTTTTTGAGGTCTCGTGGTCGGGGAGGCTACAGAGGTGGCTACCGAGGTGGACAGTTTCGACGAGGTGGTCGACCACATCAACCGGCTGCTGTATGAAGGCTAATAAAAGCTTGATAACGGGTTTGGATCTGCTGGTAATGTACACTATGCTGTTGTGTAACTACCTAGATTCCCGTGCTTTCTTAACGCTAAGCTATAGGAGGTCGTGTTTTCGTGCAATTTTGTGGTTTTAGCTCGGTGCTAACTACAAGTTTCTTAACTGCAAACTAAAACTTTTGGTTTCTCTTCTTTTTTTCGGGGGATTTGAGCTTTGACTGTGATGGATTTGTGCATTATGAATGCATGTGAAGCATGTGATCTTGAACTTCTTATTCTGCTCTGCAGTGTTTTATTCAAACAGGTTCTTAAGTTTTCAAAGTCTGCGGCTTTCTTTTACGAAAGAGATCCGGCCAGCGATGGGTGCTGCCGGGATTGGAGACAAAAACTGGTGATCAAAGTCCCATGTTGGTGCTGTTTGAATGGAGAACGGTCAGTGTTTTACACTGATTACCACCTACGCTTTGGTCTGACTTGTGTTTTTTTCAGGTTTACGATAGGAATCAAAAAAAGAACCAAGACATTGGGAAATGTACATGAACAATCTCTGCTAACAGTAAGCTCGCTATGATAAAAAAAACTTCAATCTCCTCCTTACAAAATTTTTCCTGGTGCAGCAGCTGTCCCTCTTTTTCTAAGGGTCCCTCGAGAAACTTGCTGGATCTTCCCGCGGTACTACTGATCACCATCATCGGACGATCATTTACGAAGACAGAGACAAACCGAGGACGTGACTCGATATCATACTCGCTGCCTTTATATGCATGGAGATATATCCCGGTTCTAGCTGCTTAAGGTGCACTATCCTGGGCCGTGGTGGACTGTAGACCGATATCGTTTCCTCCTCTGCTGGGACCAGAAGGTGGAGTGGTGAGAACTCGGGGAAGCATATTGTGGATCATTCTCTGCTCGGAAAGCAATGCTGGATCGGCCTCTTTCTTTGCGGGAACTGTGAAGAATTGAGACTGGACCTTAGACGGAACATGGGAAAGAGCAGAGGCAGAGGGAGAAGCCGCTGGAATTCCTGCTACTCCATACCTGGCACACAAAGCATTCTCGGCGAGAAGTCCCAGCAGGATGAAATTCAACACGACGATCGTCATCTTCTTTCTGTCGGTAGCTGCTTCCATGGTGGTGATACGATCATATGCCGGGCAGCAAGAATATCTTCAGAGTAGCCTCGACACGCAACGAGAAAGAATGAAGCAGGGACTAGCGAGAAGTGGTGGCGCCGGTGGCAAATAATTGCATGAAAGCTTGGAAGCTGCACAAGACGGAAGAGGGAACCTTTACTTCGGTGAACAAGCACGCACTCGCGGAGAAGAGCTCTCAATCAATCAAAGAAGGAAAGCGTAGCTAGCTGCGAGTACTTCCGAGACAGACAGAGGCTCTCTCTCGCTGGCTGGAAGATGAGGTGGGATTGCGAGTGAGCGAAGGAAAGCAACAAGCAAAGAGAAAAGAAAGCTGTGATGGAGATGGGGGGAGATGTGTGGATTTCTATCAACACAAGTCGCGGCCTCACAGGTTTCCCTTTCGCTTGCTCGACTCAGACGCGACCAAATTAAGCTGTTCAGCCGAAAGAGAGGGAAAACGGAGTGTAAAGTATGGTGCGAGAAGTAGGTGAGTTATCCTTTTACTCGAAAGCTTATTTGTCTAACGAGGAGAGTTTGGACACAGGATCATCGGACACGGGATTTTGTAAGAAAGGAGCTCCTCCCCGGCCCACTTCACAAGGGATAGTATCTGTGCGTCCAGCAAAAGCGAGGGGATCCTACTGTAGAGCTTCGTTCAATCTCACAAAAAAGTGCATTTTTGTGAAGCTTCGTTCAGAGTTATATGACCCTTCCACTCGTCTTGGTTCTTCATCTCTTTTTTCTTTTCTTTTTTTTTCAGATTTAATTTTCTTAGAGCCAAGCCGAGCCGACTTTTGCTACTTATTCTTTTATGACTGCTAGGATTCAACAGTGGACGACGACAGTCGGTGTTTTATGTTCCATCACATCACGGAAACTGGTAAGTCTTTCGTTTCTAGGCTGCTTAGTATTGCCTGGTAATGAGTTGATTCACTGTTTTTAGTTGAGATCGATCGCTGCGCGTGGGACATCACCGACTGGTGCGGTACGGGAGCCGGCATTGTCCAAACGGGTACCGCTTCCTCTTCTTTTTTCCTTTTTTTTTTCACTTGCTTTTAGACTTTTGATCTCCTCCCTTTTCGTTTTCTCTTTTCTATGGTTTTTCGCCTTGCTTTACTGCCGGTCTGTTGGTCGTTTCGTTTGTGTTTTAACGCCAGCCTTCCGTCATGTTGCTGTAGCATTTCGATGGTTTTTCCAACACAACCTTTTGAAGTGTTCAACTCCAACACGGTCACAGATGGCATTGGAGTGTCTCCTCGCGTTATATGCTTTGCGTGCGAAGCTCTTCCAAGTGGATGTAAGTTCTTATCTCTAGGAAAAAAATGCTAGATTACATACATTGTGATGACTCACTCTGGAGTGCAGCGCCGGGACAGATCCAGCCAGCACGTACACTTATTCTATACACCGCAGACTTAAATGGCAGGCACACTGGATTGCTGCTGCCAGTCACGACCAGGTCGGGAAGCTTTGCTTGGACTAATGTGCTTCTTAAAATCATTATGGTACCAGGCTCGCAGCGTCCATGTCCCAGGCCCCGAGACGAGACAAAATCTTCTCGTTAGAAAGAAAGAAGAACAGCGGTGGATCATGCATCGCTTGTGCTCGATGCGAGACTTCATTGGGCTGTCGAGAGAAGATCAAAAGCACGAAGGGGTGGATCCTATCCGGGCGAGAGTTTCGCGATCCCGACGCAATTATAAACTTTGGAGACATCCAACCAAGGGGTTTGCGAGCATAACAATGCTAGAAAAGATGGCCTTGTCGCTCATCTACCAGGCATATTACAGTTAATACGCCACTATGGGCTTAATCAAATATATCTCACAGTAAAAAGGACAACTATAGCTTTGTTGTGTTTATAATTCATAAGTATATGCTTTAGTACAATTATAATTGATATTAACATTTAAAAATATGGAAAGAATGGCTTTCTTTTGTGAGAGTTTGTGAGAGACTGGAGATCGTCACTGGCATGGCCCTGGACGCTTAACTTTGAATCGCGCCGAGAGACTGTTGTGGCATCTAGAAGGACCCGATGGAGGAACTGGTATTCTCTTTGGGAGCGTGTGTTGCTCCAGATGCAAAGATGGGCTTGAGACTCTTGATGATCCTTGTGACAACTCTCCAACACCAGCACCAGCGATCAAAAGCCTCGATGCCCCGCAACAATCCAGGAAAACCATCGCCGCCAGGATCACGAAAACACCTGCAGCTCTTCTACAAGCCATGTACATGATCCTCGGCTTGGAAATCAAAAGCACGGGGTGGAAGCATGGATTTATACGATTCAAGCTGCGGCCCGAACTTTCCAAACCTGATGATGGCGGTGAATATCTCGCTAGCCAGCCAGAAACTTCGCTGGGAGGAAACAGGCAGCCCATGTGTTATATAGAGATGCGAACCACGGGCTGGAATCTCCGCGCAGTGCTTTGTGGATAATCGAAAACTCGACTGTCTGGAGATCAGGCCGCTTGATCTTGATAGTCGCGTGGAGATCTTCGAAATCCATCGACACACACTTCCGTTCTCGGCTGGTTGACTTTTACGAGTTCTCTAGCGTTTCTACTCGGCCACGTCGGTGACACGTGGTCTTTGACCATTGACAATCCGGTCTCATGATTGACGCAATATTCTCAGAGCCGCCATTTTTTGACAAATCAGAGGGTCACTCACTCATTCTTTTGTTTAGATTTTTCTTGGTGATGTTTGATTGATTTGATGTTGGGTTACAACTAAGCAGAAATTGCCGCTGGTTTGTCGATTCCAAATCTTGTGTCAAAACATGTTGGCTCCAAAGCGCTTTGGATCGTTTTCTATACAAGTTTTCATGAGAACAAAACTTTCTTATAGACAAGAAAACAAGTGTGAGTGTCTGTGTCTAGCCTTTTCTCTACACTGGCCTCCAAATCGCCGAAAAGAATGGACTATCTTAAAACGTTGATCTAAGCTCCCCACCCAAGAAAAAGAAATGAAAAATGAGTGGAATCCACTGGTGTTAGTTCCTGCAATTTGCCATGGTGGAAGCCCGAGCCGTGGAAATCGCGTTGTGGCATTTGGACGGCCCCGACGGTGGAGTCACCTTCTTTGGCATCCTGTTGAGCGAGAGGCTAAACACTCTTCCATTGGACGAATGCAAGACATGGCTGCTGCTAGGAGATTTGTGAATCCATTCCACCGCTGCTGCTGGATGATCACCAGCCCGGTGCTTTCCATGATCGTTGCTCTCCTGCTGCTTCTCTGCGACAACCAATCTTCCCGAAACAGCCACTTGGATGAAGCTCGAGCAGTACAAACCCATCACAAGGATCAAAGCCAGGACTCTGGTGCTCCTCATCGCCTTTCCTGCCGACCGCGGGAGAATTTTACAAGGAACTCTGTGTGATATCTCCAGATCCAAGTCTTCCTGATCCACAACCGCGATCGCCCTGGGATCTCTACAGAGAACTCCAAAAACTTGGTACGAAAGAAAACGCTGCATCGACCGCGTCTTTATAAAAAGAAAGACCGTGTAAAGTTGGTTTGACAATGAACAAAAAACGGAAGGAAGAAGAGCGAAAAAGAAAACCTCCAAATCTACCAGCCAGCCAGCCATCGCCCAAAGTCGCACCGAGCACGCCAAGAAAAACGCGAGGTCTTCCTGGGACTATTTCGCGGTGCACGACCATACCATTATTTCTCTCTTTTTTTCTCTTTGGGCACTACCTCTAGTCAACCCCTGACTATGTGTGTGTGGAAGAACCGGGGAAATGCTGCGTGCGTGTTTTGCGAGGGGGCGACATAGTTACAGGAGCAGGAACACGCGTGGTCGGTCGCTTCCAGCGTATATAGCTTCTCACATACTACTGCTATATACTTTTGCTATACTATAGTTTTTTCCTGCACTACACTGTCCAGTTTGACCAGAATACAAATCCCATTTCACACTTGATACACAAGCTCTGACCGGTCAATCTGAGAAACAACCAGTTTCGGAGGTGAAAACGAAAGTGCACGCAGGGATTGAGTGCAGAAAATGAAGGCGAAAACTGAGCAAGTTCTTCTGCACTTTAACAAGGAATGGCTGCTGTGGAATGAGTTTCCAGTGCCTCCTAAAGATTTGAAAATGGTTCATCAGAAAAGGATGTTTTTTGTTTTTCTCTGTTTTTCTTGTATATTCTAGCATTTTTACTCTCTTTTTTTGAAAAATGAGATGGCTCAACTTTCAAAGCCAAGCCTTGACAATTCTGTTTGGGGCCATATGCCCAAAAGCAGGTTGGTAAAGCAGCAATATTGGAAAATACTAGGTATACCAAAGGCTACTCCTTTCACTCCATAGCCACTTCTTTTCATTGCTCTCATGGAATCTTTTAAACTAGAGCTCCGAATGCTCTCTTGTCAATCAACAGATAATCCTTGCTGCTTTTGATCTAGAAGAAAAGTTGTTGCTATCCTCAGGGTATGAAGGCTTTTTCTCCTCCCAAAGTTGCATCTTTTTGCATATCTGATTGATCGATCATCCATGAGACTACCTGTGAAGAATGCGGAGATCCCCCCATACTTTCGCTGCCCAATCTCGTTCGAGCTCATGGAGGATCCCGTGATCTTGAGCTCCGGGATCACGTATGAGCGCTCCAGCATCCAAAAGTGGCTGCTGGACGGCAACAGGGCTTGTCCAGTCACGCGCCAAGCTCTCGGTTCATGCGAGCTCATCCCAAACTCCACTCTCAAGCAGCTCATCAAATCGTGGAGCGCTAGCAGCAACGAGGAGGCGATCATCAGCTTGGAAGAGGTACTTTGCAGAGAAATCGATACGAGTAGCGTAGCCATAGCCGAGCTCCTGGACTCGAGCTTCTTGCTTGCATTGAGCAAGCTCCCCAGCGGTGATTCCATCTGGGAGAGAGTGGGCGATCACGACGAGTTCCTGGAAGCTCTGTTCGCGACCGTCTTAGCGGAGAGGGCCATCCAGGAGGAAGATCAAGCGGCAGCCCTCTCGATTTTACACACGCTCTGTAAGCTCGACGCAAAATTCACAAGAAGGGCATTTGCTGCGTGCTTCGATTCTCTAAAGAGATTTGCCAGACTACTCACCAGCAGCAGCAAAACGGTGAGAACAAACGCCGCCAGCCTCTTGGAAACTCTTCTATCATCACTCTCGGCTCACGACCATCGCCAAATGCGAGATATCGACGGCCTCGATGCGCTCATCCAAGGGCTGGTGTGGCTCCTCGCCAAGAACACCACCGGTGATCAAGCATCGCCGCTTCTCAAGTCCCTGCTGGTCCTCCTCGCCACTCAGCCGACCAAGCTCAAGCTCCGGGCGATCGAATGCGGATCTCCAAAGCTCCTGATCGATCTCCTCATCGAGCAGCAGCCCACGGGGGTGATCAAGCAGCAAACTCTGGAGCTGCTCAGGACGCTGTGTTGCTGCGCCGAGGGGAGAGAAGCTCTGGCGGTGGATCACGCGAGAGCGGTGCCAGCAATCCTGGGCTGCGTGCTCAAGATCTCCACACAAGCCACCGAGCATGGCACTTTCATCGCCTGGGCGCTAATCGTGTGCCACCACTCGGTGGGTTCTCACGCAGTGGAGGATTCCTTCCTCGAGGCTGGTGGCCTGTCCACGATGGTGATGGTTCTTCAGTGTGATTGCTCCGTGTCCACCAAGCACAGAGCTGGGGGGCTGCTCAAGCACTTCTCCTGGCTCTGGAAGACTCCATAAACTTAGAACGATCTTAGATCTTCTCTTCTTTGTGTAAATTCAAAGATCATGGTTTTAAGCAAGTTCTTGCCAACTTTGCGTTCTTTCCTTTGGGTCTGAGACGATTTGTCTTGTTTCGATCGGACCATGTTCCTTAAAGCTGCTGTAGCTCAGCTTTTGTCCATTCTTCTAGTGGAGGAATCACGTCAGCCACTAGACGAGATCTTGTCAACTTCATCTCAAGTTATCTCGAGAGGCCGAGATTGAGATAGAGATGCATCGATGTTTAGTGTTTGTGAGGGGACAAGAACCTGCCAGTGCTGGAAAAGAGTTTGGTGGTATGTATCGATCATGTCTTGGCCAGAGGGACTTTGATTGCGATTCATCTCACATGTCGTGCTTGCTGGTACCACAAAATCACACAGAACACTCCGAGAACAAATGTTATGTTAAAGATATCCAACTTTGTTCATATATGTGTTGTTTTCATCTAGAAACTGTAGTTTTCATAGCGAAGATAGCAAGCATCAGAGCCACTTTTCAGGCATAGTCTCGCTCCAACTGCGTGAGGAGCAACTTGTGTGAAGTAGTTCTTGCAAGTGGCGAGACAATCCTCACAATTTCCCTCGAAACATGCAGCGTAGCCATAGACGGTGTCTGGATCGTCCCCAGCTTGGGCCTGCCGGGGAGATTCCTGAGACGGAGATAGCAGGGATTCATAAGCCGATGCCAAGTTCTTCTCGAATGGACTATCTTCGGAGCTCTCTCCAGTGTTGTAGTAAATCACATTCTCTTCGGTTTCACTGGGACAAAAACTAATCCCAGCATCAGGAGCGATCTCTCCATCACCATCATCCTGAGGCCAAGCATTTGCCACAAGAAAAAGCACGAGAAAACCAAGCTGGAATGTTGCTCCCATTGCGAAACACTTGAAGATCATCCATATCGCATGGGTTCTTATACGACGGAAAAAGTTGACGGAGTCAAGAAAATCCCGAAAGCGAGAGTCTGCAAAATGGCCATGATGAAAGATGCCCACTTCTTGCATGAAAGAACACGGAACTTGGGAATTTTTTTAAAGAATAAGAATTCTTCCTTGTTCCCTCTTGCGTGTTGTTGCAAAGAAGACTCGAGCTGGCGATCAGTGCTCTAGGTCAAGCCCAAGCTCGACAAGATGATGCACATGACCTTCTACTGGAGCAAAAATGCCACGATTCTCTTCGATGGCTGGATCACAAAGACATGGCTGGGCTACATTCTCTCCCTCGCGGCGCTCTTCCTGGCGGCCCTCTTCAACGAGTATGTCGTCTCCCGCAGGATCTTGCTCATCCAGGCGTCGAAATCGCCAGGTGGGTTGCGCAAGCCCCTGATGGGCGATTGCACGGAGCCTCCCCCGAGCTCCATCGATGGCCGGGCGGTGGAATCCATCCTGTTTGTGGTGAATTCGGCCCTTGGGTTGCTGCTCATGCTCGCCGCCATGTCCTTCAATGGGGGCGTGTTTGTGAGCATCGTGGTGGGATTGGGCGTGGGCTACTTTGTGTTCCGTTCTGGGGATCGAATTGGCAGTGGCGCCGCTGGTCGAGAGGCCAAGATCCGGGAGGAGGCATGCGATACTTCGTGTTGTACTTGAATGCTATTCGTACGCGAATATCCTTTGTACTAAATAACAATATTACTTTTAGATTTAGGGTTAGAGGGAAGTTCAAATTATGTTCGTTGGTCTCTTGTTTTCAACATGAGAGTACATTTTTCCAGTTCGAGAACTTTGCTGCTCACTTGTTTGCTTGCAGGTTAACGTTGTTGCACTGTATTTGCAATCGAAAGGAGAGCTCTGGATGACACCGGTTAGATTCGCTGTCACAAGAGTCGCGATGAGGAGATATTCAAACAGGTACCTTCACTCGTGATTTCATGATCTACCGTTTGAATATCACTCCAGATGGCGATGAAATAAACCCCGTAAGCTCACTTATTCGAGATCTTTCAGATTTATGAGTTCTAGGATGGTGTCCTGGAAATATGCACTATGGAGGAAACGCATTCTTATGGCATCAAGTTCGCGTGCTTTTCATGATTGGCTGTGGCGCTGCAACTCGATTATTTCCAATGACGCAAGTAAGTTTAGTAATTTTGTAGATATTTGATGGCACGGCATCCATTTTTTCTCCAGAATTGTGTACCATTATCCTGTTCCTTGGGCCGTAAAAGCCTAAGGTTGATCCTAATGGCAACATAAGAGAATAAATTTGGATTATAAATAGCCGGGTGTTGAATCTGCATGACTCGGTGTAAAGCATCGTTTAGGACGGCATTTGCGAGAAACTTCCATTGAACATTTGCAGATGGATTGCCATAGACACCTGAGATCGTGAAAAATCCTGCTGATTCTATCGTTTGCTTGGTCTTTGTACAGGCCAGGCCGCGATGCTCTCTCGCAGTTCTACCTAACTAAAGACCATTAAAAAATTGTGTTACACTTTTATATATGAAATCGACGGTTGTGATTTTCCTACTATAAAGGGGTCTAGAGAGAATGACAATATTTAGCTCTAATTAGTCATCACTTCTTAGCATTACTTTTATATAATTCAGAAAGCTTAAAAATTTTATAATTTTTTTAAAAATGAACATTTTGTAATAGCTATAGAAGGGTTTGAGGAGATTATAACTTGTTAATGTCTATTCTCATTGTATACTTTACAATATAAAAAGAAAATTGGGCCTTTATTGAGATCTATACAAAATGATAAAACTGTAACACACAATTTTATAAGCTAAAACTTTATTCAAAAAAAGTTTTCTGATTAAAAAATATGTATGATACTATAATTTTTTAAGAAAGAAAATACAGTTGCTACATATGTTTTATATGAAAACTTATAAGAAAAACTCTGAGTTTAGAACTTTTATATACATTCATTTGTGTCCCGGAAACAATCTCCTCGACAATCAAAACATTTCCCTTCTTTTATATCTTTTGGAGCAATTTGGCATAAAAGACAAGTCTGTTAGTGGAGGAACTATATATAAGTAAAGTGTTGTGGATGGGATTAACCACATCTATTTAGGTAGCTGAGGTGTTGTCCCCCATAAGGAGAAGTATGACTCAAGTCCCAAAAACTTAATATGAGCCAATTGGTAGCTTAAATGTCATCCTTCAAAGAGTGATACCCTAGTAAATAGTGTCTCATACAGTATCCAACCCATTATCCTTATTATACATTTGGAGGCCTTTTTATAAAGGTGGTAGCTTTTCCTACCTAAAACCCTTGATCTACATTAATCTCAAGCCATAACATGTTCGTTATATACATCATAACCAATGTAGCCACCCTTTTTTTAAGATTTAGGTTTAGGACCTTCTCCCTTTTGCCTTCATTTCCCACAACTCAAATACATCTGGTATAGATAAACTTGATTCCTATCTTTCCCCATATCCATATTAATATGCTTTGATACTACTATTAAGATGAACATTTAGCCATTCTCTCAAAAGTTGAAAGTCTAGAAGGAAAGAACCACCTAAAGAGGAGAAAAGGGAAGAAAAGGAAGAAAATATACCCCACTTTCTCCTGTTGATGATATTGATAAAAATTTAGCTTGGATCATTTCTCAAATCAATGTAATTCCCAACAATTCTATAAATATAAATAATTTCTAGAACTATATATTAAAATTTTAAAGTTATGTGTAAATTGATTTTCTGAACTAAATAAAATATTATTTTTCGTAATTTTTATATTTATAACATAATTTTTATCAAGAAAACATAATAAATAAGAATTAAGCTTATAATAATATTATAAATATCAGTTTTATTAATCATAGTTTCTATAAAAATTAAGGAACTACAAAAAAATAGATATTAACAACTTTAATCATAGCTGACCTAGTGTTAAAATGCCTTTTAATGTTGCAAAAATATTAAAGAAATTATTTTAATTTTAGTTTTTTATTCTTAGAAACACAATTAATTGTGAAATCCATAATGTAAGAGATTGTAGTCACTCAAAAGTGAATTTTCTATTATGAAACTCTCTCCATTTTGAAAGAGAAAAAAAATAAAAAGTAATAAAAAAAGATTGTCATTGGACAAGTTGTAAGCTTTGTTTATATATTTATTACTTCTAAATTTTTATTAAACTTTTTTCATACTATAAATTCATAAAAATCTAGCCATTCACAGTGTAAAAAATTATTTATTAGAAATAAAATATAGGTATATTTAATTTTGAATAGTCTTTTTATGAAAGTAAAAACATAATAACTTCAATGATTTTTGTTATTTAACAGACTTGGTGTAAAGCATCGTCTAGAGATTCTTACAGCATTTGCAAGAAAATATCTTCCATTGAATATTTGCATGGTTTGCCATTGACAAATCCAAAGTCTCCCCTCTTGCCTGAGATCGTGAAAAATCCTGCTGATTCTTATACATGCGTTATCGTTTGCTTGGTCTTTATACAGACCAAGCCGCAACGCTCTCGTTTGACTATCAGCACTTAATTCTTTGGCAAAATAGGCCCGAGTTTCAAGCGGAAAATGTGGCATCTCCTCCTTTTCACGTGTGGCTTGATCCTCGCAGGACAGACTTCTGTTTCAGCTCAACCAGGCAATAGCATTTTCACGATCCAAACGCTTATATAAGTACTCTATCGATTTTGTCCAGGGTTTTTGAGCCTCGACTGTGGAGCTTTCGACAGCCACACGGATGACAATGGTATCAAATGGATACCCGACGACAAATACATCACCACCGGAGTGAAAACCTCCATTGCAAGCCCTTTGAAACAAGGCTCGGATCTAATTTTTCAGCGTCTTCGCTACTTTAGCGACACCTCCCGGAAGCACTGCTACGCTTTGCCAGTCGTCGTGGATGAGAGCTACATCGTGAGGCCGCGGTTCGACTACGGAAACTACGACGGGCTGGAGTCAACTATAGTTGAGTTTGAAATTGCAATTGGTGCTAACACTCTGGCGAACGCGAGCCTGGATAGCCAATCACGGTGGTATTTCGAGTTTGTGGTGAAAGCCACAAACTCGACGTTAGATCTATGCCTTGGAACCCGCTCGAATTCACCGGCAAATATCCCATTCATCTCCGCAATCGAGCTTAGAAGGCTGGCTCCTGGGATGAGTGGAAGTGTCTCGGATTATAGTGAGGTCTTGGTCCTGTGGAGAAGGATCAATCTTGGAGCAACTTTGGATGAAGATATCAGGTAAAGTATGGTAAGAAACTCCTCATGCGTTCATATCTTTGAACAGGTATCCTTGGGATGAATATGATCGAATATGGAGAGCTGACAAGGGCTTCAAAAACATGGGAAGCTACAGGCGGATTAGCACTAACTCGACTGTTTCCGTGGGGAGAACTTTGAACAAGCCTCCCACCGCGGTGATGAGGTCCGCGATCGTTTCTAATTCCGAGATGGTCTTCGAGTTTCCAGCCACGCTTGATGCGACGAGGTACTACGTCAACTTTTACTTTGCGGAGTTTTTTGCTCTGGGGAATGACACGAGAGAGTTCACGCTCCGTTTCAACACCAGCTCTCTTGAAATTCCCGAGGTTAAGACGATCATCAACATCGAGGAGCACACCCAGGCTCCACTCACTTCAATACAAATGTATCTCGAGGCTCCACTGAAGCTTTCAGATCCAACGCGCTTCTTTCTTAACCCCACGCCAAACTCTACGCTGGGTCCAATCCTCAATGCCGCCGAGCTCTTCGAGTACAAAGGTGGTCTCCTTCCAGGGACAGAACCCGACGATGGTATTTAGCATAATTTATGTTATAAAAGTCTCGTTTTTCCCCCTTTTTCTGGACAGTGGTAGCGATTCGCAATGTGATGAACGAATTTAACATCACTGGATGGTCGGGAGATCCTTGCTTGCCACTTCCCTACACTTGGCGGTGGATCACTTGCGATGTAGCTCAAATCCCAGCGAGAATTACAGAGCTGTAAGGGGATACGTATCTAGATCTATCATACGAAAAACTTAAGAGCTCTGCACTGCAGGAACTTGTCCAATCAGCGGCTAAGTGGTAACATATCACGGTCCATCATGAACCTATCGCATCTAACAAAAATGTATGGAAAGTTCTTTAGCAATTCTTTGTTTTTCTCATCTTTAGTTCTTCAGATATTTGGATAACAACGCATTGACAGGGCCAGTTCCAGACTTTAGCTCTTTGAAAAACCTCACGGTTTTGTGAGTACTGCATATAATAAAATAGTCCTTATAGTCACTATGTTACAGATCATTACAAAACAACAGTTTGGATTGCGTACCACCAGAAATGCATTTCAAGTTAGTATACGAATTTCTCTCTTGAAATTTATCTATCGTTTTACTTCCCGCAGCACTACTTTTAAGTTATGCCACACAAAGAAGAAAAAAAATACAACACTTCTAATTGGAGTAGCGGTTCCATGCATAGCCGTGATACTACTTGCAACTGGACTCGTCGTGTATTTTATGTCCCGTAGAAAAACAGCAGATAACAGCCCAACCATCGGAACACAGGAGAAAGATAACAAAGATACCAAGAGTCCAGGTAAGTTGAAAGGTCTAAGCCTTGTGTTTATAGCTTGAATTTCATCTCCCAGGCCTGGCTCCAAAGTCTCCAAACTCCAACACCAAAATCTTTAGTTATAAAGCTGTTGTCGAGGCCACAAACAACTTCAAGCGAGTTCTAGGCGAAGGAAGCTTTGGACCAGTGTACTATGGCTGCCTTTCCAATGGTGTGGAAGTTGCTGTTAAGGTCTTGTCAAGCACCTCAAAGCAAGGATATCAAGAGTTTAACACGGAGGTGCGTTTGATCGTCAAGCATGAATACCAAACTGATTGTATCTTCCCGGCAGATTGATATTCTATCAGTAGTACATCATAGGAACTTGGTCTCTTTTCTTGGCTACTGTGACCATGGATCGAAGCTTATACTGCTCTATGAGTTTTTGTCAAATGGAACTTTAAAAAAGCACTTGTATGGTAAGCGATATCTTCTTTTGATCCATTTGTTTCTCTTTGATGTGTCATATAGGTACAAGCTGTCCAACTTTAAGCTGGAAATCTCGGCTGCAAATTGCTTTAGACGCTGCTCAAGGTAAATGAGATGAGTTTGTATAGTGACTCTCAGCAGTGAATTTTGTAGGACTGGAGTATTTGCATACGTCTTGCAATCTTCATATAATCCATCGTGACATCAAAACAACCAACATACTCTTAAGTTCTGCTATGGTTGCCAAAGTCACTGACTTTGGGCTTTCCAAGCTTTATGACAAGAACAACACATCTCATGTCTCAACTATTGTCAAAGGGACTCCAGGATATCTCGATCCAGAGTGAGAAAAAAAAATCTTTTTTATCTATTCAGGTTCAAACCATCGTTATGATCGATTTATGAATGGTTTCTCAGGTACCATTCCTACAGCAGACTCACAGAGAAATCAGATGTGTACAGCTTTGGAGTGGTACTGTTTGAAATTATTTGTGGCCGTGAACCTATCAATCTAACACTTCCAGAGGAACAAGTTGTTCTTTCAAAATGGGTAAAAACACTCTTTCAAATCTTTAGCTTCTAATAGTAGTTTTGCTTCCTCCAGGCATGCAAAGAACTTGAGAAAGGCAACCTACAAAATATAATAGATCCCAAGTTATTAGGCTATAAAGAGCAAGTAGCATGGAAAGTTTTGGAGCTTGCAATGAACTGTGTGGAGCATCGATCTGAGAGGAGGCCTAACATGAACACTGTGGTAAATGAGCTGAAAGAGACCATCCAACTTGAGGAGGAAGGGATCTTTCTCACATGATCCATGGAAACTTTCAGCAGAGGAAGATACCTGGAAAGTTTATCAAATGCTGAAATCAAATAATTTTTATTTAATTAGTAAATTTTTATTAAATATTATTTCAGAAAATAGTTTTGGTTTGCTTAAGTATACCTAGAATGGATATTCTGTGATATTTTACCATCTAACGTGAAATGAGATTAATCTAGTGTTTATAAACTATAAATATATTTATAATTATGATCAATTAATAAATAATTCTAAACATGAATAAAATTACTATTAAGCAAAAGAAAATTATTTAGCTTGCTTTAATGTAAAAATATACCTAGAATATCTAAGTATATTCTATATTTATCCATCGTGATTTTTACTGTTAAACTTTTCTCTAATTCAAGGCTTAATTTTAAATACAAATTGTTATTTTAAGGCTAATAGCTAGTGCCTCATTGTCATGGATGGTATCGCGTGAAGAAATGCGTGAAAACTCTGCTGCATTCGGACGGTGGACATAGGAACAGTACGTGCGTAGAAATCATGAGAAAACATCGCCAAGATCCTTGGGACTCATGATCAGCGTGAAGTAACCCTCTCTGTGATATCAAGAGGAACCAGCATATGTTTGCCAATGTGGAGAAGTTATGATTCATTCTTTCTACACTCTCTCATTTTTTGTCTGTTCTAGGTGTCCGGGAACGTTATCACAAGTCTATCAATTTGCTTTTCGGACACAATTGGCGTCTATCCCGGCGGAGACTCAAGATGCAATAGATGCAAGAATCTATGAGGCCATTGCACGAGTGTATTGAGAATGAAGTAAAAGGAAGTTTCCTGTCTTTTGGCTACTTTGCTTCATTGTCTTCGCTTGTTGCATATTTCACAGTCACAATCTTAGCTCTTTCATTGTTTGAGAGTCCTTTTTATGCCTAGAAAGCTTAAAAAGACATGAAGCTTGTACCGCTCAAAAGACTTTTAGCTCACAAGATAGCCTAAGAAGAAGAAAAAACAGTGAGGAAAAGCTACACGATCTGTGGAAAAGTTGTACGTACCAAGAGCTTGGCAAAGTCCATCACAAGGAAGATATGGGGACTCTGGATCTCCTTCCAAATCTCCAAGCTCTTCCACGGCTAACGATTAGCGCAAGCACACAGAACTGCCGGTTGCAAACAATCGAAGAAACTGTTCGCCTTCTTCTCCTCTTCACAGCCATTCTTCTTGGCCACTTTGTTCTCCAGCTCCTGGATCTCAGCCTCGATCTGGCTCAGCATAACATACGGCCCCGACTTCTCTGGATACGTCTCTAGAGCCGCTCGCGCCAAGCGGGACCCTCTCTTCACGTCCTTCGCGTTCTTGCAAGCCCGAAGAACTGCCGTCCAGGCCACGAGATCCGGATAGAACGGCATGCTCTCGATGAGCTCCTCGGCTTCCTGTAGCTTCCCATTGCGTCCCAACACGTCTACCATGCAACCGTAGTGATCCACCAATGCCTCAACCTGGTAGTCGTCCTGGAACAGCCGGAACACGTCCCGGCCAGCGTCCACCTTGCCAGCATGCCCACAACCGGCGACCAGCACCGTGAAAGTTATCTCGTCCGGCACCACCCCTTGATGGCACATATCCAGGAAGAGCGCCAGCGTCTCCCTGATATGCCCGTTCTGAGCATACGCCGTCAGCATCGAGTTCCAGCACGAGAGGTTCTTCCAGCACTCGTCGAAGATCTTCCTCGCATCGCCCACCTTGCCACACTTCCCGTAGAGATTGAGAAGCGCGCTTACGATCACTTGGTCCGCCTGGAGTCCGGCCGCGAGGACGCGATCGTGGACGGCCCTCCCGGCCGAGGCCGCTGCCATATCCGCGCAAGCGTCGAGGACGCTCGCAAAGGTGATGTGATCGGGCACCACGCCTTCATGGTCCATCGTCCGGAAGAGCTGGAGAGCGTCGCGGCTTTGTCCGTAGAAGGAGCACGCGGCGATCATCGAGTTCCAAGTTACGAGGTTCTTCTCCGCCATGGACTCGAAAACTTTCCTCGCTTCCTCCAAGTTGCCACTCTTCCCGTGCATGTAGAGCATCGCGGAGGCTATCGTCACGTCCTTCTCGAGCCCGTGCGCGCAGACCCTCTCGTCGACGAGCTTGGCGTAGCAGCCGCACAGAGCATTCCCGGTGGCAGTGATGAGACTGGTGAACGTAACTTTGTCCGGCCGGATCCCCTCGAGCTCCATCTTCCAGAAGATCCTCAAGCCCTCCACGGCCTCGTCGGTGGAGTGGGAGTAAGCTGAGAGCATCGACGTCCACAGGACCATATCCTTGAACTCTACCCGGTCGAAAACTTCTCCCGCGAGATCGAGCCTGCCACACCGCCGGTACGCGTTGATGAGCCCGGTCATCACCACCACGTCCACGTACAAGCCGGAGGAGACCACCTGGTCGTGGATCTTCCTGGCCTCCGGGAGCGTCTCCACGCAGCACAGCACGGAGCTGAGGATGTGAGCGTCGGGAAGCATGCCACCCTCGAGCAGCATCCGGCGGTAGTAGTCGAGGCCTTCTTCGTAGCGATCATCACTCTCGGCCCCGGCAGTGATCATCGCTGCCCAGGACATCTGGTCCCGGATCGCCATCCTGTCAAACACCTGCTTTGCCTCGTCGAAGCTCCCGCATTTGCCATACATCTCGGTGATGAGATTGAGCAAGTAGCGATCCTTTCCCAGCCCCCGGTCGACGATCTTGCCGTGGAGCTTGCGCGCGTACTCGAGATCGCGCGTGAAGGTGAAGTAGCGGATGAGATCCGCATAGGCCTGCTGGAGGTTCTCTTCCTTGCGGAGGATCGGTGTGTAGGAAATGTACCTGGCGAGGCGCGAGCTTCTTCTCGGTCTGGTCCGGGAGTGGAGACGTAGGATCGCGTTCCACATTGGGCGGCGCGAGACCTCGCGTAAAACCCTAAACCCCCAGGCCTTAGAACCCTAGAAAAATTCCAAGGAAATGTGAGAGAAATCCAGCGAGAGAGATGAGCGCGAGCACTTGCCAGCCTCTCAAGATCGCCAATCGACGCGATGGCGATCCCTCCTGGATCGAGAGCCGCGAACTCCTCATAGCGGCGGTGAGATCTTGCAGGAGTCTAGCACTGGGGAGATCACTCCACGCTCGGATCCTGGAGAGCGATCACGCCGGGGACAAATTCCTGGCCAATCTCCTCATCCAAATGTATGGCAGCTGCGGCGCGCTCCACGACGCACGCGGCGTCTTCGATGCCATGCCGGATCCAAACGATTTCTCGTGGAATATTTTGCTGGGCGCCCACGCGCGCAACGACGATCTCGCCGGCGCCAAGGAGGTCTTCGATCGCAATCCCTGCAAGGACAAGGTCTCCTGGACGACGATGCTCCGCGCCTATGCCACGCGCGGGCATTTGCAAGACGCACAAGAGATTTTTGACCTAATTCCCGACCCAGATCTCTTCTCGTGGAACACACTCCTCACATCCTACTCTCAAGAGCTTCGTATATGCCAAGCCAAGCAAATATTCGATTATATGCCCAATAGAGACTTAGTATCTTGGAATGCTCTCTTGTCAGGATATTCCCAAGTCGGGCATCTGGAAGACATTAAGACTCTATTCACCAGGATGCCCTCGTGGAACGTGGTGACGTGGACGACCATGGTAAGCGCTTTTGGGGAGCGCGGCCGCGTAGAAGATGCACGTCGGTGCTTTGAAAGCGCCGTGGAGCATAATGTGCTCACGTGGAATGCCATGCTGGCAGCATATGCCCGAAGTGGGCATCTGGAAGAGGCGAAGATCGTGTTTGACGGAATGTGCGAGCGTACCGTTGTGTCGTGGAGCACCATGCTGACGGCATATTCCATGTCCGGTCACATGTACGGGGCAAAACGGACATTCGATTTGATGCCTCAAACGGACGTGGTGTCGTGGAACGTGCTTTTAGGAGCATATGCCCGGAATGGGCATATGTACGGAGTAAAAGAACTATTTGATTCCATGCCACAGAGGAACTTAGCGGCATATACTCTCATGCTGCAAGCTTACAGCGGCAAGGGGTACATTGAAGCAGCAAAGATTCTGTTTGATTCCATGCCGGAGTTTAACACCATCTCGAGCACGGCTATGGTGGCTGCGTTTGGACGAAACGGCCAGACGCACCACGCAAAGAGGCTGTTTGACACCATGGAAGAACGCACTGTTGTTGCCTGGAACGCCTTGCTTGGAGCGTTTGTCACGAACGGGGAGCTCGAGGAGGCCGAAAAGCTTCTGGAGAGAATGCCCGAACAAAACTTTGGATCCTTTTCTTCGATCTTCGGCCAGCACCATGGACGGAGTTTTCACTTGATGAACTTGCTGGGACTCTCGGCCACGGACGAGGATGCTGTGTAGCTCTACATCCAGCTCTCTCCAAGATCTCACGAAGGCTACACAAAGCTTGTGTTTCATTCCATGGCGCGAGACACAGCGAAGCGAAACTTTGGATCATTTGCTTCGTATCTGGCCAGCACCATCTTGATGGACTTGCTGCGACTGGATGTAGCAAGCTAGCGAGCTGCTCCATAGCTCACGGAGACTGATATCCCTTTTACGCGAGCCATGCCGTCGCTCTCGTCGTCTTTCACTCTCCACGAGCGGTCTTTCTTCCTGGGAGCTTTCTTCTGCATCTTGTGAAGGGCCTTCTTCGGCTTCACAGCCTTGGCTCCCTGGCTCTTGCTAGCGTTCAAGTCGACGTCCCTGAAAATTCCATCCAGTCGAGCTTTGAGATTGGATTCACCAGTACCTGTAGTTGTTTTCGATCCTTCTTCCTCTTCCTCTTCTCTTTCTTCGTATTCTTCGTCCTCTTCTCCTGAGAGATCGTCAACATCGTCACTGTGAACACCACCCTCATCAACAGCTTCTTCATCATCGTCGTTGCTTTCATCGTCGCTTGTGGTGTCGTCGTCCGGCGGAGTATGGCAGTATAAAAGCTTACCATTGAGGTAGTCCTTGAGCATCTGCCGAGCAGATCGTGTCTCGTCTGGAAGACCTCTCGAAGCTACATAGCCGCGCGACTGAGCGTAGGACTTGAGAAGCTCGGCAGCGGTAGGAGGCCTGTTTTGATCCTCGTACGGCTTTGGCTTCGGCAGTAGCAAGCCGTAAGTCTCTTCCAGCTGCCTCCGTGGGATTTGATTCGCGATAACCTGAATCGGACCCCTGTAGTCTGTCATCTTATCAACTGGTAGGACGCCAGCAGCAACCATGTCGGCCTTGGAGCTCGTAAAGGAAGGAAAAACCAATCCCGGACAGTCGCAGAGCATCAGCCTGTCGTTGATAATCAAAGTTTGGAAATGCTTCGTCTTTCCAGGCGTTGAAGTCACACCTGTGCGCTTCTCTCCTACCAAAACGTTGATCGTAGAGCTCTTTCCAACGTTTGGATACCCCACAAACCCGACTGCAACTCGCTTCTCCGTATCCATCACCGACGAAGACGTGTCAAAGCTCGAGTCGGCTTTCTCCTCCTGTCCCGCGCTTCGTCTCTGGCGGATACCCTCGGCTCGAACTTGTAATGAGGCTAGAAGTTCTTCCCTGCCTAGAACCGGAACATCACCATCGTCTGCTTCATCGAGGTCCTGGTCATCGTCCTTGCCTTCAAGTTTTGCTGTAGCGCTTTTCGCAGACCAGAAGATATAATCCAGTCCCAGCTCGTCAAAGTAGCTTGCCCATTTTTTTCTGGAAGAAAATAAGCAAGCCTAAGAGTTTGTTTTGAAACAGAACTGAATGCACACCTTATTGCGACGGGCAGTAGATCAGATTTATTCAAGAGCAACAGCGTTGTCTTGTTTTCATCAATCTCCTTGACGTAAGCCTGTAAATCACGAACATAAGTTTTCCTTGCAAAGAAGCACTCGAAGTTTTTCTTGCATTCCAAGTTACCTCCAGGTCTGGACAACGATAAAATAGTGGGTTTCTAGCATCCACCACCATTACGACCTACAAAAGGACCGAGATTTATGCTTGAAGCTTACCCATATCACCACAAGTTACCAGGTCGCATCGTTCGATCACACGCCATAATTGTCTCCACACCTCGAGATTTTTCTCAAACGGAGTGATAACCAGCTTCTCGTTCTCCTCCAGCCTAGATCACCATCATCTTAGAAAAAGAAATCGTTTTTGTGCTGCAGTGAGCATACCTTGCAAGGTTCCGACGCCATTCTAGAAACGCTTGCCTTTCCTGGGTGTCAAGCTCCTCCACGGTCATCTTCTTGTGCCATTTCGGCCTACACAAGACGAGAAAGACCAATCTTCCAAACTCTAGGGAAAAAAACCTGCGTACAAACCTGCGAGGAACAGTGAGACTGGACTCGTTCTCGACCTCCTCTCTCCGCTTATCCTCATCGTAGCTCGCGCTGGAGCTCTCTTCTCTGGGAAATTCGAGCGAGAGCCACAAGTTACTTCGAGCTTAGAAAGGAAAAAAAAAATGTATGGCACTCACCTTGACACAAGCTGGGGCGGCGGATTTGCATCGGAGAAAATGCGCTCGGCCTCTTCCGCCTGCTCGAGCACCACTTGCAAATCCGTGAATTCCATCACAGATTGCAGCGCCGACGCTCCAGCCTTGTCATCGCGATGATGATGGTGCTGCTTGTCCGCGTTCCGCCGCTTGATCAGCGCCTTGCCAAGCACCTGGCTCCCCTTCTTCCCCCCCATTGCCGCAAGAACCCTAATCTCTGGTATAGCTATAGCTAGGGTTTTACCACTCAAAGCAAAATATTTTGGCGTGGTCTCTGCAAGACTTTCATTGAAAGGAAGATCACATCTTGGGGAGCCCTTTGTGAGGTCACGAGATGCTTTCCAGGTTGGGCAGTCGAGTTCTTCGTAGGAATCTATCATCGCTTGCCACCCAGCTAGGTCGCCGCCACGAACAAGGAGACTTGCATCAAGCTCTCACACGATGCAGAGAGAGCGCTGCAAAGCTCCTCACGGTGTCCGAGTTTGTCGCAAAGTCTGCCCGCCCCAACCAGGAGGAGGCCGCGGCGCTGGACGTGCATGAAGCTCGGTGCATGGAATACATGCTGCAAAGCTGGGACTCCGCCGAGGTGGACGAGACGCTGTCCCTGGTGCTTGCAGTTTGCTACATTGCTCGCCTCTGCGCCTCTAGTGCCGAGAGGAGTGCGTGCGCTGCGACGCTGGGATGGGAGGGTGGCGCAGCGCAGCTGGATTGCATGGTTGATTTCGCCCGCCAGGAGCTGCTCTCGTCAGCTGGAATCCAGAGGCTTTCGTCCCTGGACGCAGCTAAGCAAGATGAGGAGGTGAGCGAGCACTTGGAGCTACTTTGGACAAAGTTTTGCGAAAACAGAAACATCCAAGGTTTGTTTTTGTCCTACAAAGTTCATGCTCTTTCTTTTCTTTTTCATGTGTTTCTTGGTTTGAATGGCAGTGAGTTCCGAGATACCGGCACGCAACACTATCGGTATGAATTTCTCTGCTCCACCCCCCTATCGGATGCCTTCCAATGGGGAATTCAGATGTAAGAAACCATCTGTTGCTCTGGTGTCTCACCGGTTCTACTTGCAGGGCGCGAAAAGGTGACGAGTAAACCAGAGTCAGGGAACACACAAAAGCCCTCCCGTTATGGCGTTGCAGCTGTCCCAAAGCTCTTTGGCTTGGTTTCCAAGATTCTCAAGGCCGACTTCTTTCTCACACTCCCGGTGGACAGGCTGGTAACAACACTGGTTTCCAACTTTCCCGGTTCTCATTCTTTTGACTTGCGACAACAGGGGTGGAACATGCTGTCGACTCCACATGCACACGACGGAGTTCGACGGGCTTATGCGCAGCTTGCTCGACATCCGCTCAAGCCACCTCTGCGGCGTAGGTTTCCCGATGAAATGCCCTCTATGCCCCTGCTGGTCAAGGAACTTGTCCTGCTGCTCCAAGGTATCGAGAACAGCAAACTTCTGAGATCGCTTGTTGCAGAGAGGCCACCCTTGTCTGTGCTGCCGCACCACCACGCCATTGGGACCTGTATGCAGCACGCTCGCATCTGGCTTGGACGCTATGACCTCCGAATCTATTACGACCACGACTTGACGTGTAAGTTGTTGCCTCCTTTTTTATCTTTCTCAAACTCTGAGAGCTTGTTTAGATGGCCGGCTCGGTACGCACGATGTTGCAGAGCAGGAGGAGGAGGAGGTAGTGAATTCTTCATGCTTTACTGTGAGTGTGCGCTTACATCATCTTCGTGTCTGCATCACGCAGGTGTTGGGTGGTGGCTTCTCAAAGGAGCGAATCCCATCTCTGATCGAACAGACCTTGAGATGCTACACTCATGACAGCTTGTGGTACGTGATCGGATTCCAAAGCTGCAGATGATCTCGACTGTTTTTTGTCTTGTGGAACTCAGGGAGCGGAAGTGCAAGCTTATTCACATGCGGCCGGAAGACTATGACATTTCAAAGCCTCCAGACACACCTATGTGGTGTGCTTACAAGAAGTATATTGGGCATTGCAGGGAAGTTCCAACAACCCGTCAGTCCGTGCTTTACGATGTTCATGAGGCATTCACAGGGATTCTCGGCTGGGAGACCAAATCGAGACCCAGCAGGGATGGCCTGTTTCCACCGGTCGCCGAGGATTTCTCCTTCGAGGAGCTGCACAGAGAGAAGCTCGAGAGCTGGATGTAGAGAGGACACGCTCGACTTTTACAAGCCTTGGGAAAGCAAGCTTTCTGAAACTTGGAGAAAAACTAGATTTCTTGAAAGATTGTTGTAAGCTCTTAGATATATATTTCCATCTCTTGGAGTCCCAAAATTAAGCTTGTTCCTATCCAAGTTCCATGCACTGGCAACGTCAAAAAAGAGACTTATAACTGATTGAAAAACCTTATGGAGGCTTCAACTCCTGTTATAATGTACTTGTCGTCCATTGGATACCAAAGGCTCAAAAATCCTGTTTGAGACCTTTGACCGGAGATTTATGTCAACTAACCTGGTTGAGCTGAGATAAAACCGAAACTGACTTGTCATGTAAATAAACATGCACGCGGCAAAGAAGTCATCGCCAAATAAATCACTTTCTGGACGTAATAAAAATCTCGTGAAAGGAGGAATTGGCACTCTCTTCGAAGTGACAAACAAAGGTCACCACCTGTGGGAGAACAGTAAGTCTTTGTAACTGAACAAACTTAAAAAGTGATCAGTTAAAGCCAACAAGAGGGCATGGACTAAACCAAGTTACCTGAGTCACCTTAAAAACGAAGACATGGAACACGCCACCTCGAAGACATCTTTTGCTTGATGTCTCTTTGCTCGCAGTCGCTGGCTTTTGCATCTGGAAGATCTCTTGCATCATCCACAAACGAAAGCCATGCAACCCGTTACGGAGTAAATGCGTAACAACAACTCCTGTCTTGGTTCCGATTTCACGTTTTCAATCGGCTTCCGAAACTGCAAAAACCGAGTGTGTCGCTTATGCCCGAGACTAGATCACCAGTCCCAAAGCTTTTCCGGAGCTTTGATCTGGTTTCACAATCACCCTGCTGCGTGATTCATGGCCGAGCAAGCTTGTCGAGCGCTAGCCAAGACCTGGAAATACTTGCACGGCGCCATGGATCGAATCAAGCAGGAAAAGCCAACCTTGCATCGACTCATCTTTGTCTGTGCTGGAGGAATGCTGGCCGGCACTGCCGCACTGGTAACCATCTTTGTGCTGCTCATCGGTACACCAATCTTCCTGCTCTTCCTTCCACTTCTCGTCCCTCTCGGCATCCTGGCGGTTCTTTTTATCGATGGGATCCTGGTCTTCGTGCTTGCAAGGTCGTCACCACTAGCTTGGCTCTTGGAAGTCGCAACATTTGGAGCCGAAGCCATGATCCATATCGTGACCGGCAACTTCGTCAAGATCAACTTGAGCAACTTCTTCGAGATCTTCACTGGAAACGTTGGATCCCACGTCGCCAGCATCGTCACAAATGCCGCTGGCGGTGTCAAGAACGTTGCTGTGGCGGTGAGTGAAAAAACCTCGCAAGCTGTGGGTGGTGTCGCGGGCACGGCGATGGCGATCACTAGCAAAGCATCGAGCGTAATCGCCACTTGTGTAGTGGAGACCGCCAAGAACACTGGGAAGGCTCTCGAGATTGGAACCACTGCCGTGACTGGGGGAGTTCTCGAGCTTGGATCAAGTGTAACTGGCGGAGCTCTCGAGCTTGCATCAAGCGTAGCCGGCGGAGCTATCGGGCTTGGATTGAGCGTAACCGGCACTGTGACTGAACTTGGATCCAATGTACCCGGCGGCTTGGCAGGATTGTTCCATCCATCCGGTGACAAGAGCTCGTCGCGCAAGAAGAAGAATACGGGATCAGAGAGGCACTCGTGATCTACCACCGGTCAATGTGATATTTCTTTTAGTGAAAATGTGATAATAAAGATCCCTGGCTATACTCTACTACTTCCGGCAAGAAGAGGAGCCAGGTGCTTGGGAAGGCCATCATCATCGCGATGACACAATTCACGGATTTGCAAGTGGTGCTCGAGCAGGCGGAAGAGGCCAAGCGCATTTTCTCCGATGCAAATCCCAGCCATCCATTGATTTTGCACAGGAGGAAAAAGCCGACTCGAGCTTTGACACGTCTATGGATATGGAGAAGCGAGTCGCAGTCGGGTTTGTGGGGTATCCAAACGTTTTGGTGGGAGAGAAGCGCACAGGTGGCCTGGAAAGACGAAGCATTTCCAGACTTTGATTATCAACGACGACGTCATACTCCTTCGTTAAGGCCGACATGGTTGCTTGATAAGATGACACTCCGATTCAGGTTATCGCGAATCAAGTCCCACGTCCACGTAGAAGGCCGACGAGAACACCTGGTCCTGGATCTTCCGGGCCTTCCACGCAGCACGGAGTTGAGGATGTGAGCGTCTGGCCTCGAGCAGCATCCGTTTGGTAGTAGTCAAGGCCTTTTTCGTAGCGATCGTCACTCTCGGTCAGGAGTTTATTGTTCTTCTTCTTCCTCTTCTTCTTCTTCGTCCTCTTCTCCTGAGAGATCGTCGCTATCGTCACTGTGAACACCACCACCATCGATAGACTGATCGTCGTTGGTTGCAGCGTCGCTTGTGCTATCAGAGTCCGGCAGAGGATGGCAGTATGTAGTCCTTGAGCATCTGACGAGCAGACCGTATCTCGTCTGGAAAACCTCTCGACGCTACATCTTTCCTCTGCTTCGTCTGGATCTACCTCGTGCGAAGTGTTGCTCGACTCGGTACGGTTAACCAAACAGAACGGCCCTCTGCCGTGCGGCTGAGCGTAGGACTTGAGAAGCTCCGCAGCTGTAGGAGGCCTGTTTCATCGTACAGCTTTGCTTCGGGAGTAGCAAGCCGTAAGTCTGCCTCCGTGGTGGTGATGACCGGGCTCATCAACGTACCGGAGGTGTGGCAGGCTCGATCTCGCGGGGAGAAGTTTTCGACCGTGTGGACTTCAAGGATATGGTGCTGTGGACGTCGATGCTCTCGGCTTAGTCCCACTCCCCCGAGGAGGTCGTGGAGGATCTTCTGGGCCACGAAGGCGTGGTGCCCGATCACATCACCTTTGCGAGCGTCCTCGAGGCTTGCGCGGATATGGCAGCGGCCGCCGTCCACGATCAGGTCCTCCAAAAGACCAAGTGATCGTGAGCGCGCTTCTCATGAGATCAATCTCTACGGCAGGTGTGGGAAGGTGGATCTTCGACGAGTGCTGGAAGTACCTCTCGTGCTGGAACTCGATGCCCACGGCTATCAGTGAGACGCTCGAGCTCTTCCTCGTGGTGTCCTACGAGATAACTTACATGGTACTGGTTGCCAAGGTGGGCGCTGGCCGGGAGGTGTTCCGGCTCTTCCAGGACGCCTTCCAGGTTGAGGATCGAGCTCGTTGAGAACATGCCGTTCTATCCGGATCTCGTGGCCTGGACGGCGGTTCTCGGGCTTGCAAGAACGCGAAGGACGTGAAGAGAGGCTCTCGTTTGGCGCGAGTGGCTCACGTATCCAGAGAAGTCGGGGCCGTATGTTATACTCAGCCAGATCGAGGCTGAGATCCAGCAGCTGGAGAACAAAGTGGCCGGGAAGAATGGCTGTGAAGAGGAGAAGAAGGCGAACAATTTCTTCGAGTGTTTGCAACCGGCATTGCTCTGTGTGTGCGCTAATCGCTAGCCGTGGAGGAGCTCAAGGAGGCCAGAGTTCTCAGATCTTCCTTGGGAAGGGATTTGTCAAGCGCTTCGGACGTACAACTTTTCCATAGCAGGTCGTCACTGTTTTTTTCTTCTTCAGAGCTTTCATGCCTTTTTAAGCTTTCTTGGAACAAAGTAGTCAAAAGAAGGGGAAATTTTTCTGCCTCGATCCTTGCATCCAAAACACCGACGTCGGACAGTGTAGAAAAGAATGGATCATTAGCATCGTTGAGTATCATCGCGGTGCACCGCACACCCTCTTCATCTGCAGGAAGACTTACCTCCCGAGAAAGCTTCACTGAGGAAGAGAGGAATGACCTATGGCCAAGTTGGTTCAGCTCCGTGGGCCTTAGGCTTCCGACGCTCGAGCTTTTGTATTCGACAGGGTCCTTGAGTTGTTGCAGCGAGGTGGAGAGGATCAAAGGCAAACTCGCTGGAGAAGAGCACTACGGTCTAGAGCATGGGATGGCTTCCACTGCGTAGTGTCTGCTGGGAAGCCGTGGTCGCCAGTGAACATGCTATGGAGACGATTGAGGCCATGCCTTGGATAGCCCAGCTACGGATTGGACAGTCGTTTTATCATCGGTGGAAGAACGCGAGGATTGGAGGGGTGGAGTTTGATCGATTGATGAGTGTTTTCAAGTTGGCTCGCAGCCATCTCGCAACCTCGAGCGGCATCATATTGTTGAAGACGAAGATATCCGCCACAGTCCACTGCTCGGGAGTGTAGAGCATCCATGAGCTGGACCATTAACTTCACGATCTGGGCCAAGATCGCGCAGGCCCCACAACATACTGGTGAGGTTCTCTCCATCCTTGCCTGCCAATCCCATATACGGCGCTTCTGATGAAGCTGAAGTTCTAGATCGAATCAGTACTCAGTATGTATCTAGGTGAATGGTACCATTCCTGCAAGCAGTGTACAAATGAATCCCATCTAAGATCTATGGAAACTTTCAGCAAGTCGTCATATATGATTTGATGTTTTTTCTAGTTTTGATGTATGTGGCCTTCAAATTGCTCGAGGCCAGCATCAATTTGGAAGTGTAGCCTCTTTTTCTTTGTGCTCTTGTTTCAATCATTCATTTTTGCATGCAAGTTGAACCTCGAGAGTTTCAAGACTTGGGATGTTAGATTCCTTGATGAAAAGCAAAGTCCTCCAACAAAATTAACATGTCATGAACGTCAGCTTACTCTTGTTTGTACTCCTGTTTCAGCTCTTCAATCACTTTGTCTCGCTTTCTATGTCCAGTTTAGACCGAAGAGTTTCAAAATAAATTCCATTTTCTCACTCTTTGTACCTTGAGCTTGAAGGATGTAAGTTCATGCTTGACATAGCGTATGTAGATAGAACAAGAAAGGAGTTTCTGCTTGCAAGTCGTGATAACACAAAGCATAAGATAAATGGTGAGATTCGTACACTGATTTTATAGATTTTAATACGCTTCCACGTTCAGGCCACGAACACGGCGTTTGTTACGGCATTCTCAAAGGTGCTTTGATGCAAATGAATTGCCATTGACATATCCAAAGTCTCCTCTCTTGCCTGTCTGATTTAGATCGTGAAACATCCTGCTGATTCTTATGTCTTTCTTTTGCTTGGTCGTCTATGCACAGGCTGGATCGCTCTCTCGTTTGCTTTTCTCGAGAGCATGCAAGTCTTTGAGAGAATAGGGCCCAGTTTCGGCTCGCTCGAGCGGAAAATGTGGTCGGCTGATCATCTCCTCCTCCCTTTCACGCTTGGCTTTATCCTCGCAGCACAGACTTACGTTTCAGCGCAACCAGGTGAGTAGCATTTCATCGATTTGAAAGATGGTTTTTGGAAGAACTCTATCGATCTTGTGCAGGATTTTTGAGCCTCGACTGTGGAGCTTTCGACAGCCACACTGATGTAAATGGTATCGAATGGATACCCGACGACAAGTACATCACCACCGGAGAGACAGCTTCCATTTCAAGCTTGTTGAAGAAAGATGCGGATCTAATAGTGCAGCGTCTTCGCTACTTTAATGACACCTCCCGGAAGCACTGCTACGCTTTGCCAGTTGTAGTGGACGAGAGCTACATCGTGAGGCCGCGGTTCTACTACGGAAACTACGATGGGCTGGAATCAACTCGAGTCGAGTTTGACATCGCGATTGGTGCGAATACTGTGATGAATGCGAGCCTGGGAAGCCAGTCGTCGTGGTACTACGAGTTTGTGGTGAAAGCCACAAACTCGACACTAGATCTATGCCTTGGAACCAGCTCGAATTCACCGGCAAATATCCCATTCATCTCCACAATCGAGCTTAGAAGGCTGGCTCCTGGGATGAGTGGAAGTGTCTCGGATTATAGTGAGGTCTTACTCATGTGGAGAAGGATCAATCTTGGAGCAACTTCAAACGAAGATATCAGGTAAGAAACTCCCAAACTTTTTTCTCTTCGAGCGTTCAATTCTTCGAACAGGTATCCTTTGGATGAATACGATCGAATATGGAGAGCTGACAAGGGCTTCAAAAACATGGGAAGCTACCAGCGGATCAACACTAACTCGACTATTTCCGTAGGGAAAACTTTTAACAAGCCTCCCACCGCGGTGATGAGCTCCGCGATCGTCTCCAACTCCGTGATGGTCTTCGAGTTTCCAGCCACGCTCGAGGCAACGAAGTACTACGTCAACTTTTACTTTGCGGAGTTCTTCGCTCTGGGGAACGACACGAGAGAGTTCACGCTCCTTTTCAACACCAGCTCTCTTGAAACTCCCCAGATCGCGGTGACCGTCAACATCGAAAAGCACACTCAGGCTCCGCTTACTTCAGTGCAAGTGTATCTCAAAGCTCCCGTGGAGCTTTCTGATCCAACACGTTTCTTTCTCGTCCCCACGCCAAACTCTACGCTGGGTGCGGTCCTCAATGCTGCCGAGCTCTTCGAGTATAAAGGTGGTCTCCTTCCAGGGACAGAACCCAATGATGGTATGTAGCATCATATACATTATCTTGTTTGTGACAGTTTTCTTCTCTGGACAGTGGTAGCGATTCGTGATGTGATGAATGACTTTAACATCACTGGATGGTCGGGAGATCCTTGCTTGCCTCTTCCCTACACTTGGCAGTGGATCACTTGCGACATAGCTCAAATCCCAGCAAGAATCACAGAGTTGTAAGAGGATTCATATGTATCATACGAAACTGAAGAGCTTTGCATTGCAGGAACTTATCCAACCAACGTTTGAGTGGTAATATATCACAGTCCATCACGAAGCTGTTACATCTAACAAAAATGTATGAAAGGTTCTTTAGCAATTCTTGGTTTCTTCTCATCTTGTTCTTCAGATATCTGGATAACAACGCATTGACAGGGCCAGTTCCAAACTTTAGCTCCTTGAAGAACCTCACGGTTTTGTGAGTACAGCGTATGCTCGAAAATTAGAGTGTTTCTTACACTCACTATTTCACAGGTCCTTACAAAACAACAGCTTGGATTGTGTACCACCAGAACTGCAGCTCTCTTTCAAGTTCGTTTATCGAGATTCTCTCTTGAATTTTATCTTTTGTTTCCTTCCTTCTGCAGCACTAGTGTTAAGTTATGCGAGAAACTCGACGCAAAGAAGACGAAAAATACAACACTTTTAATTGGAATCGCGGTTCCATGCGTAGCCATGTTACTACTCGCAGCTGGACTTGTTGTGTGTTTCATGTCCCGTAGAAAGACGGACAAGAGCCCAGGAACCATCAGACCACAGGAGTCAGATAACAAAGATACTGAGAGTCCAAGTAAGTTGCAAAATGCTGGCTTGTGTTTACAGCTCAATTCTAATCTCCAGGCCTGGCTCCAAAGTCTCCAAACTCCAGCACCAAAAACTTTAGTTACAAAGATGTGATCGAGGCCACAAACAACTTCAAGCAAGTTCTAGGCGAAGGAAGCTTTGGACCAGTGTACTATGGCCGCCTTTCCAATGGTGTTGAAGTTGCTGTTAAGGTTTTGTCAAGCTCCTCAAAGCAAGGATATCAAGAGTTTAATACAGAGGTGAGTTTGATCGTGAAGCATGGATACCAAACTGATTCAAAACCATTGCATTTTCTTGGCAGATTGATATTCTATCAGTAGTACATCATAGGAACTTGGTCTCTTTTCTTGGCTACTGTGACCATGGATCGAAGCTTATACTGCTCTATGAGTTTTTGTCGAATGGAACTTTGAGAGAGCACTTGTATGGTAAGTAATCTTCTTTGGTTTCCGTTTGTCTCTCTTTAATGTGCTTGTATGTAAGGCACAAGCTGTCCAACTTTAAGTTGGAAATCTCGATTGCAAATTGCTTTAGACGCTGCTCAAGGTAAACAAGACGAGTTTGTATGAAGACTCTAAGCAATGATTTTCATAGGATTGGAGTATTTGCACACGTCTTGTAATCTTCATATAATCCATCGAGACGTAAAGACAACCAACATACTTTTAAGCTCTGCTATGGTTGCCAAAGTTAGCGATTTCGGGCTCTCTAAGCTTTACGACAAAAACAATGCATCTCACGTCTCAACAATTGTCAAAGGAACTCCAGGATATCTCGATCCAGAGTAAGCAAAAACTTCATTTTTATTATCTTCTGGTTTGAACCATTGTCACAAATTTTTCTCCAATGGTCTCAGGTACCATTCCTACAGTAGACTCACAGAGAAATCAGATGTGTACAGCTTTGGAGTGGTACTGTTTGAAATTGTTTGCAGCCGTGAACCTATCAATCTGACACTTCCAGAGGAACAAGTTGTTCTTTCAAAATGGGTAAGAACACTCTTTCCAAGTCTTTCGCTTGCTTGACAGCAGCTTTACTTCCTCCAGGCATGCAGGGAACTCGAGAGAGGCAACCTGAAAACTCTAATAGATCCCAAGCTATCAAGCTATAAAGAGCAAGCAGTATGGAAAGTTTTGGAACTTGCAATGAACTGCGTGGAGCATCGATCCGATAGGAGGCCAAACATGAGCACTGTGGTAAACGAGCTGAAAGAGGCCATCCAACTTGAGGAGGAAGGGAACTCTATCACACGATCTATGGAAACTTTCAGAAGAGGAAGATAAGTAGTGCAAGTTTACCAAAATTGAGACAGTGTTTTAAGAAGTGTTGGTGGTGTTGATCAATTTCTTTCGCCGTTCTTCATAAGTAGCTAAAGCACACAATCGTCAGCTGTGAAACTCTGGTAGAAGTGTGCTTACGTTCAGTGGGCCGAGAGAGGAGAGGCACATAATTTGTTTTGCTAAAAGAAACAATTGAGTCTGCAACATCATGGATTTAATCGAAGCATGAAGATAAGCATGCTTACCAGGACAATCAAGCTCCAGCATGCCTTCAGAAATTAGTGCGGCTGTTAATAGCGTTTGGTCGAGATGTTTCAACAAATGCCTATGTATCTGTGCTTTTGATTCTACAAACATATGTAAACCAAAATGTGAGCCTGGATCTAACTTGACTCTTACCGGGCCGGCAGTAGAATCGAAGGCCTTGAAAAGCACAACTCTGAAGAACAAGCGGAAGCTCGGGCGCCATCACATACTGTGGTTTTCTCATTGTCTTGTCCACATCTAAAAGGTCATCAATGATCTACAAAATCAACAAACTTATTTATCTCCATGGAAAAAATCGAGTTGCAGCTTACTGTCAGTGTTTCATGGCCACGGCCAATCATGAAAAGCACAGCAGCCATGCAACGAACTTGATGCCATAAGAATGCGTTTCCTCGGACGTGCATAACCCACAGACTTCTTCCTTCCCAGCTGAAAGGCGAGACAGTGATGAAGAAACCAACAATCCAAAGATTCAAATACTCTACCACTCTTCAATTGGAAGAATGTCGAAAGCCAGAATCTGTCGGGTGTAGTTGTGAATGTTGTCAGCATCCATTTTACAGAAGTTGCGAAAATCGTGCTCACCAAGCAGTCGCTGAGATGCTTGCTTCATGGCCTAAACAAAAATGAAACTTCTGCAGCCAAATTTTCAATTTCTTACGTCTATGTTTAAGCCATCGTCGATGAAGAAGTACTTGTACTCCCGATACAAACAGCTGAACCTGCGCACCAGAGCACTCGCAAAGTCAATGCTTAAAATTGAGAGTGATACCTTGCATGAAATCCAGGAGGAACAGGACACCATCCAAGAACTCGTATATCTGCTGGAAGAGCCCGATTAAGTGAGCTTACGTAGTCTATTTCATCGTCATCTGGCGCGATTCAAACGATTAGATCACGAAATCACGAGTGAAGGTACCTGTTTCGGCTGCAAACATCTCCTCCTCTTCGCGGCTAGATCTTGCGACAATGACTCTATCTTTTGAGCCATAACCAGACTCTTCGGTGTCATCCAACGCTTTTTTTTTCGAGCGCAAATACAATGCAATAACCTGCAAGCAGCCAAGCTCGAAAAAGGAAGAGTTACACCGCAAAGAGAACCTGAGCAGTCGCCGAAACACCTCTATCAGTTCGACCACACCTCGAGTAATTTGCATCGGCTATAGAACCGACTACAAGATTTGTTCTCTGTAGAGCGGCAAAGATCTCGGACTGGAAAATGCCAGAGTTGCTCTAATGTTCTAGAGCAAACACTGCATACCTCGACAGTGTTAAAAGCACAGCCTTGCGACGCAAATCCATGGTAACTAGATAGTAACAAAAAAAAGAAAGAAAGAAAAAAATCAGCTTTCTTCCAAACGAAAGATAGGAACGTACCAGCTGCCAATGTACATGATTTTCAAAGCCACAAATCGTCGCTTAAAGTTTCCTAGCAAGAGAGAAAGAGTTACTAGGAATTCCTTTAAACGGATCGTAGAGTACCTTGATTTTCTTTCTTGTGATTCTTGTGATTCTTGTGAGTCCGCTTCGATTTTAGCGACTGGTTCTCACCATGCTGAAAGAACAGAGAGTAAATCGAATGGGAGACAAGAAGAACGAACCTGCTGTGACAATCGAGCAGTTAAATTTGCATTCTCCACTTCCAGTGCCTGCGCCAAGATTTTCACTCACTGAAGAGAGGATGAAAGAACTTGCCTTGATCCTCGCAGACAATGCGGCAACATCGTTCTCCAGCTCGCGGATGCGCCCCTCTTCCATCGAAAGAGCGAATTTTAGGGCTTATGGCGAGATTTTAGGGTTCTTGAGGTTTTCCCGCCATGGCGATGAGCTTGAGCGCCGGGAGCGCGAATGGGCGGCGGCAAGCGCACATTCCCCCGCGGCGTCACCAAGGGGCAGTGAAAGAGGCTCCAGATGCACAAGCAGCGATGCGCGAGAAGGCGTGGCTGCTGCGCGAGCGCCGGATCTACGAGAAGCGCAAGCGGCAGGAGATGATGGCCGCGGTGACGGTGCTGGAGAAGCCATGGGAGCAGAGCTTCCCGGCCAGGACGCCCAGCAGCTCTCCGCCCTAGCCGATAGGATTTGTGGAAGCGGCGCGATCGCCTAGATCGCCACCCGCGTTCCTGGATGGTCCAGCAAGAGGAAGGATTCTTCTCGGTCGACGAAGCGAGAGAGAGAGGGAGAGAGATGCCTACCAATCGATTCTCATAGCTCCTTATAGACCTTTCCCATTTCTCGGGAAGAACAGGACGAATCGACTTGGCCGCCGAGGCTTGTCCCTCTGGGATTCTTGGCGAGCCAATCTCGGTGATACTCACCGGCAGGAATGGCCGATCGTCTCCACGATCTTCCCCAAACGCTATCATTCACGAGTCGTGCAGACGCTCCAGGAAATGGTGATGTCCGCGTTCCGCCGCTTCATCAGCGCCTTCCCAAGCACCTGGCTCCCCTTCTTGCCGCAAGAACTGGTAGCATCCACGTTCAGTCACAGTGCCGGTTACGCTCGATCCAAGCTCGAGAACTCCGCCAGTTACACTTGATCCAAGCTCGAGAACTCCCCCTGTCACCGCAGTGGTTCCAATCTCAAGAGCCTTCCCGTGTTCTTGGCAGTCTCCACTAGACCACTGGCGACTACGCTCGATTCTTCGCCATCGCCGTGCCCACAGCTTGCGAGCCACAGCAACGTTCTTGACACCGCCAGCGGTATTTGCGACGATGCTGGCGAAATGGGATCCAACGTTTCCAGTGAAGATCTCGACGAAGTTGCCGGTCACGGTATGGATCATGGCTTCGGCTCCAAACTTTGCGACTTCCAAGAGCCAAGCTAGTGGTGACGAAGGATCCCACCGATGAAAAGAACCGCCAGGATGCCGAGAGGGACGAGAAGTGGAAGGAAGAGCAGGAAGATTGGTGTACCGATGAGCAGCACAAAGATGGTTACCAGTGCGGCAACATTCCTCCAGCACAGACAAGGATGAGTCGATGCAAGGTTGGCTTTTCCTGCTTGATTCGATCCATGACGCCTTGCAAGCATTTCCAGGTCTTGGCTAGCGCTCGACAAGCTTGCTCGGCCATGAATCAAGCAGCAGGGTGATTGTGGAACAAGATCAAAGCTTCGGAAAAGCTTTGCGACTGGTGATCTCGTCTGGGGCATAAGTGACACACAAAGTTTTTGCAGTTTGGGAAGCCGATTGAAAACGAGACATGTTACGCATTTACTCCTGGCTTTCGTTCGTGGCTGGTCCAAGAGAGCTTCCAGATGCAAAAGCCGGACACTGCGAGCAAAGAGACATCGAGCACAAGATCATCAATGGGCGTCTTCGTTAGAGATGACTCAGGTAAGTTGGTATACTCTGTTAGCTTACAAACTTACACAGCTAGTTTCATCAAATGCACAGTAGCGTGGACACGATGGCTGGTGATGGCGATAATGTTCATGGTATGCTGCCTCTTATCGCTTTCCTTGTTTAAGTTAACGTGTGGCAGCTTGAAGTCTCCATTTTCTCTTCCCAAGTTTGGTGAAAAATGGCGACTTTTGTCTCTCACTTTTAAGGGAGTGCCAATTCCTCAGCATGGACTGTTACTTCGATGTAAAACTGGAATAGTTTCAAGAGATTTTTTCCAAGTCCAGAACGTTCTATGGATTTGGCGAGAAACTTTCAGAGATACTTTTCAAATGGATCTTATTGACTTGCTCTTTGCGCGTGCATGTTTGTTTGCGTGACAAAGTCCCTGGTTGCAGCGTCGTTGTTATCATGTCTTTCCAGGTCTTAAGCAAGTTTCAGCTATCTGAAAAAGAGGGTAGCAACAATGTGGTCAACTCCTCTCATCCTTCTTTTTACGACTCCATTCTTCGCAACACAGATTTATGTTTCAGCTCAACCAAGTTAGTTGGTTGACTTGAATCTTTTGTTAAAAGTCTGAGCATTTTGTTTGCAGGATTTCTGAGCCTTGATTGCGGAGCTTCCGAAAGCCACACGGATGAGATTGGTATCCAGTGGACACCAGATGGCAAGTACATCAAGACAGGAGTTGAAGCCTCTGTTTCAAGTACGCTGGGGAGGGGATTGAGTCCAATCTATCAGCGCCTTCGCTACTTTCCGGATACATCTCGAAAGCACTGCTATGGACTGCCAGTTCTGGTGGACGAGGTTTACCTTGTAAGACCAAGATTTTACTATGGCAACTACGATGGCCTCGAATCATCTCTCAGAGAGTTTGAGATCCTGATCGGTGCGAACAAGGTGACTGATACACATATTACAAAAGGAGAAACGTGGTACCACGAGTTTGTCGTGAAGGCTGCTAATTCGACGCTGGATTTTTGCCTTGCGAGCAACTCGACATCACCGGCAAATGTTCCATTCATCTCGGCAATCGAGCTGCGAAGACTGGAACTTAGCATGAGCGGAAACCTTTCAGATTCCAATGAAGCTATAGTAGTCTGGAGAAGGATAAATCTGGGAGCAACATCGGATGCCGATATCAGGTAAGCACTTGCTAGTGTGTTTCACATCTCCTTGCAAATAAAAACTGGAGTGGAAACAGGTTTCCCGAGGATCCTTACGATCGAATGTGGCAAGCCGACACAAAAATTACGAGCTTGGAAAAGTACCAGCGAATCAGCACGAACTCGACGGTCTCGGCAAGCACGTTTGACAGGCCTCCCTCGGCGGTGATGAGAACGGCAATCACCTCAGACTCGGCCATAGTCTTTACATTCCCAGCGAAACTTAGAACATCACTGTACAAAGTCAACTTTTACTTTGCTGAATTCGCTAATTTAGGCAACAACACGAGACAATTCACGATCTTCTTCAACACCAGCATGTTTCAAGATTCACCACTGATCATTGACACCGGAAAGCCCGACACTTTGACATCGATGCAAATATACCTCAAGTATCCGGTGGAACTTTCACATCCGACGCAGTTTCTTTTCACTCCGACGCGAAACTCAACACTTGGTCCAATTATCAATGCTGCCGAGCTACTCGAGTTCAAAAATCTCCTCCCAGGGACAGAATCGGATGACGGTAAAAGATCCGCAGCCGAAAAGAAACATATTTTCTCATACTTGAACACATTTTTGTTTCTTTCTTTTACAGTGCTAGCAATACGCGAGGTGATGAACCACTTTAACCTCACTGGATGGTCAGGGGATCCTTGCTTGCCTCATCGTTACACTTGGAGCTGGATCACCTGCGACTTCGCTCAAAGCCCAGCGATAATTACAGAGCTGTAAGAAGAAGGTTTCTAATGTTTCTAATTTCTAATCTTTATGCCTTTGTACGTTACAGGAAGCTGTCGAACCAGCGACTCAATGCTACCATACCAGAGTCTATCAGGAAGCTATCACATCTTACAAAAATGTATGTATCGTATTGAAACTTTTTTGTCTCCTTCACGGTTTCTCGTTTCAGCTATTTGGATAACAACGTATTGACAGGACGAGTTCCAACTTTTAGCTCCTTGAAAAATCTTACAGTCTTGTGAGTACATGCCATGCCACATTGCTTGAGCTCCTTGCTCACTGGTTTCTTTTACAGGTCATTACAGAACAACAGTTTGGAATGCATACCACCAGAACTTCAGTTCTCTTTCAAGTCAGTTTTCTTTTTTATTGTTTTTTTTTCTTATCATTTCTTTTTGCAGCATAACTGCTAACTTATGTGAAAAGCACAACAAGAAAAAAAATACAACGCTTATCATTGCGGTAGCAGTACCATCTGTAGCCATACTATTACTTGGAGCTGGACTTGTCGTATTTTTCTTCTCTAGTAAAAAGAGGGACAGTCCAAGAACTGTTAGAGCACAAGATGAAGAGACTACAGAGAATTCAAGTAAGTTCATCCTAGTTTTTAACTTACACACTGATCCGGTTCTCTGGGTTAGAGCCAAAGTCTCCAAATTTCAGTGCTAAAAGCTTCACTTACAAAGATATCATTAATACCACAAACAACTTTAAGAAGGTTCTTGGAGAAGGAAGTTTCGGACCAGTGTATTATGGCCGACTTCCAGATGGTACTGAAGTTGCAGTGAAGGTTTTATCAAGCAGCTCAAGCCAAGGGCATCAGGAATTTTACACGGAGGTGACTTCAAATATCTAAAAACATTGTTAAATTTGTGTTTTCTTGACAGATCGATATTCTATCAATTGTGCACCACAGAAACCTGGTAACTTTTCTTGGCTATTGTAATCAAGGGTCTGAGCTTATATTAGTGTATGAGCTTTTGGCAAATGGAACATTGAGGGAGCACTTATATGGTGAGTTTTTGTTATATAGTAATATCTTTCTTTCATGATGGTTTGTGCCTCTTTGATGGTTTCAGGCACAAACCGCCCAACATTAAGTTGGAAAACACGGTTGCAAATTGCTTTAGAGGCTGCTCAAGGTAAACAAGTTTGTGTAAATTTGAATTGAGCAATACTTCTCTCAGCATTGGAGTATCTTCACACCTCATGCAATGTACACATAATTCATCGAGATATCAAAACAACCAATATACTTTTAAATTTTGCTATGGTTGCCAAAGTCAGTGACTTTGGAATTTCCAAGCTTTATAACAAAAATGAAGCATCACATGTCTCAACTGCAGTAAAAGGAACTCCGGGATATCTTGATCCAGAGTAAGCTTAGAAAATGTCGTTTTCATTTTAATCAAGCTGGTTTGACAGGTACCATTCATACAACAGGCTCACGGAGAAATCAGATGTATACAGCTTTGGAGTGGTATTGTTTGAGATTGCTTCTGGTCGTGAACCAATCAACCTATCTCTTCCAGAGGAGCAAATTGTTCTCTCTACATGGGTAAGAACACTTTTTTTCACTTTTGTTTTGTTTGACAGCAGCCTTCACTTTCAGGCATGCAAGGAACTTGAGAAAGGCAACTTGAAAGCGGTAATAGATCCTAAGTTATCAAACTATAGAGAGCAATCAGCATGGAAACTTTTAGAGGTTGCAATGAGATGTGTGGAGCACTCCTCCAAGAGAAGGCCTAACATGAGTATGGTGGTAACTGAGTTGAGAGAGGCTATCCAGCTTGAGGAGGATGGGAGCTTTAGCTCGAGGCAAAATTTCAACAATGGAATATAGTATTTATAATAAATTGTTACGTGTTGCATGTATTAACATTTAGTTTGCTTAATAGTAGTATTATTCTTATTTATTAATTCAATTGATCAAATAAAGTTTATAATTATAAGAATTTTTGTAATTTATAAACACAAGATTAATATTATTGCATATGAACCATTAGATAATAGAATAAAAAATAATATATAAGAAAGGGTTTAAGAAAAATTTTAAATTATAAATATGTTTATAAATTATAAATACAAAATTAATCTAAATGAATAACAACCGTTAGATAGTAGAATATCCTATGTTTGAGGTATATCCACAGGTTTGCTTAAGCAGCATTAAAAAGTTAATTAAGTACTTTTTTCAGTGGTTAAATTAAGAACCAACAGCAATTATTGCTGAGTGTTTATTGCTGAGTCTTCCATCCCAAGAATAGTCTCTCTAGAATCTTTTATAGCAACAAAATTTCTACTTTCTGAAAAGTTTCTCCGAGTGATAAGATAAATTGACGAAATGTTTCTTTGCTGCAATCATGGCTTCGCAAGCTGGTATCAGTAGCACTCTTGGATCGACCATCGGAAGTTTCCTCGTCACCAGGCATAGGGATTCAAAGACACATTTGAAAGGGCTAAATGCTTAAAAGGTTTTGAAACGGTCAGAGACTTTGTGCTTATTTCTCAAAAGTTGGTGGATAATATCTTTTATAGGCGATGCTACCTTTTCTTCTCGATCTTGGCACGTGAGACATGGGTGTAAGACTCTCCCAGTTATCTTAGGACTTGGAAGATTGGGATAGTTTTGTCCGGAGCATTTTCCTGGTAAAATGGTTTTAACCACCACAAAGTTAAAATGTTCTAACCAGAGATAATTTGCAAATATGAAGTTATACAATGGCATTTGGTCTCTTTCTCCGGTCATAGGAGCATCAAATAATTTAAGTATCTAATATACACTTTGTCAGAAAAATCTCACTTTTTTAGTGGGATATTTGAGAATCCTTAAACTTTGTGGTTTTTCATGTGTCCAGTTTATGCGCTCCTCTTGAGCAAGAACTAATAAAGAGAAAGTAGTGCATCATTGTTTCAACTCTAATCACCTCTGCTTGATAGAAAGTGGATGCTCTTTCTTGTCAAATAGAATTTCCCAGCGCTGGACAATTTTTTCCAAAGAGGCAGTAGATGGCATCCAAGATTTGCTGAGATGCTCAAAACCTAAAGCTTTTTGCACTCCCTGCATTGACAAAACACACCTAGAGCTACTCATGGCCGAGGACGAAATCATGGCAAAAATTTGCAAGATTGGAGAGGAGCTTCAAATTTAAATACACGCCTAGAAGTGCATCATTCTTTCTTTCCACCTCAAAATAACAAAACTACAAGGATGGATCAATGCGCAGATCAAAATAGCAGCTAGACAGGATGTATGTGTTATGCAAAAACAACTTGAAGAACGTTGTGGCTGCGATGGATGCTGCCAGCCTCAAGTTACGAACTTCTGCTTTGGACTGTTGAACAGCCCAAAGTCATTCCAGCACCCATGTTGATTAAAGCTTGAGCATGGATTATTTCTAGAGATTTCTTCCCTCGATCTCTTCCTGTGCGCCCAGAGCGTAGATGATTAGTATTCTTATTTTCTATAAGTAACGCAAACCGATTCTGACTGGCGAATCAGCGATCGAACGGGATCGGATGCCTCCTCCCAGACAAGGAAGGAAAACCCTCCCCCCATCAAGGACTGAGTCCATAACACAAAACCTGCTGTATTTCAATGTAGCACGAGCTCCATCCTCTTATTTTAACAGCAGGAAACTAGTAGCTAATTATTCACAAATTCCTTGGTTGACTCTTTCGAAAGATTGAGATTGGCAGCTCCATTCTTATTGTCCACCTTGGTGTCCCTCATCCATGTAGTGTCGTATTGGCGATGTAGCTTGGGTTGTGGGCGAACAAATACAAGCAGGCATCCTCGAAAAAAAACTTGAACAAGAATAGGGCTTCCGGATTGCAGGTATTTATTGCCACCACCTTTGTAAAAATAGCCAGTTTCTAACTTAAAACTCTTGGATCCGACGACGACGAGTTGAGGCAATTGTAATGGATGCAAAAATGTGTATATCGTAGGCAGCGGGATGGTGGACGCCAGGTTGATGTTGGCGATGTAGTTGTGCTGGAGGTACAAGACCTGGAGGTCCCCGAACATGGCGTCCACAAACTCCTGCGGCACCGCCCTGGAGAAGCGATTGTTGTTGAGAAAGAGCGAACGCCAGCCCTGCGGCCTGTGAGACAGTTTTAGCTGAGATCCACCACCGATGGGATGCCTGTGAAGGACGTGGTTAGAACCTGGACTGGCCCCTGGAAGAGGAGGTTGCTGATCCGGAAGCCGAAGATCTCTGGCGGGATGCCTCCGATGAACTGGTTGAAGCTCAGGTCGAGAAACGCCTGCATCGTCCTCGTGGCCAGCGTTAGATGGTCGAGGTGGATGAGCATGGCCGAGAAGAGTGGCAGCGCACCTGACATGGAGTTGTGCGAGAGCGTCAGCGTGTTGAGATTCGGGAGCTTCGCCACCTCCTCCGGTGGACTCCCCGTCAAAGCTCAAGTTCATGCTTTGGATGCTGCACAACCCGGAGAAGGAGAGGCAATTGCTGGTGAGGCCGATGAACGGGAGGTCCTTGAGGCCGCCTGTCTGGGATGCAAAAGTGGCCCGAGACGAGAGCCAAGCTCCTCACACGTGAGCTTCCCCAGCGATGGGCTCCGAGTTCCTGCTAGTCCGGGATCCCGCCGCCAAGGCTGAGCATGGTTACGTGGTTGACGCCTCACACCACCCCGTTTAAGCTGCTGCAGGGGTCGTGCGAGAAATCCCAGCTCGCCAGGAAGTCGAGCTGCTCCGGATGTCGATTAGAGCCGAAACTTCCAACGAGTCCAGCCACAGGAGAGCCGATATTTGCTGGACCAGAATGAAGTCATGTGAAGAAACGCTACTAGCATCTTTGTCTGTGCTGCACCTGGTTGCCTGGATTTCCTCCCCGGTGGAGCTGCTACTGCCATTTCTTCTCTGGAGGTATTTGTCCTCTTCAGAGATCGATTAAAGAGATACGAACCTCCTGGTGATTGCATAGCTTCTAGCAGCACACGCTTGGTTCTCTTGCGCTTCTCACCTTGGTACATCCCTTGGCATTAAGACTAGGAAGAGGCAAACAATAAGAACCAACAAAGCAGAGTATCATATCTTTGGCTTCACTCTGGAAGAGAGAGCTGTCCAGCCTTGAGGTCTCTTTGAATGCACGCATTAGAGTTCTCACAGATAGACATGCAAAGGAATCCAATGTAGAAACAAAAATGTACCTTCACAGAAGATTAAAGAAACAGAGGACTTTGCCAAGAAGTTACTTGCAATTGCAAACATCCAACGCAACATTGTAGAGATTTATTCTCGTAGCCATAAGCTAGTCCTTTTAAAACTTTCTGATTCTACTTTGAAATCTTTGTGCTTGCATTTGCTTTTAATGAGAAACAAATGCAAGCAAAATTCCAACTAAATGGTTGTCTCATCCAGCGGTCTTACCGGAAGGAAGGTGGAGCTTTTGGCCAGGCCTCGTGTTTCTGAGCTAGTTGACGACGAGGGCGTCTCGCCAGTCCCGGTCTTGGCCTTTGCTCCTCGCAAAGTCCTCATGGTAGGAATTAACTCCCGATTGGTCCTTCCAGATGCCTATGAGTTTCTCGTTTGCAGCGTTGGAAGATCTCTTCTCGTCGAGAGGGAGATAAAAAAACTCGCGCGCCAGGTCGATGCTTTGGACGCTGGACGCTGGAACTCCATGGTTTGTAGCCTGAAAATGTGTAAAAATCCTGTCGATAGAATGTAAGTACTATCGGCCACCGCCTTGATTGTCTCACAGCGTTCGCCACTAAAATCAATTACTGGAATTGCCGGGTCAAGTTTGGCTTGCGACGCTGCCATAACTCGTAGTAATTCACGCCTGCGACGTTGTAGATGTTTGAGAGGAGAAACAATGTCTTATATAGAAGTCTGTCCACAACTCAAAACGCCCAGAAAACTGTAGCCTCAAACAATGCCGTGTAGAGCAAACAAAGTCTTTAGTCTTCCTACGCAAACTTCCAACTTCTTAGAAGACAGATTATTATATGTTCATGGCATTGTTCTTCTCAAACTTTAGCACGGTCGAGCTTAACATAGTCCAAGCTCCTTTTGCCATCAAGCCCGTTGGCGTAGAACTGGGTCAAATAGTCTTTGGTGACGCATTCCCTGTAGAGAGGAGGATTTTCTTCGCTTACTATCTCTGGCAGGGGGCCGACCACTGTGTCCATTCCAGGCCCAAAAAACGCAACCACGGACAATCGCGACTTCTCAGGGTGTGCTCGAACTCGGTGCTCGGCGCTCTTGTATTTTGCATTCGTCATTATCTGGAAACTTAGATCCTTAGCAATGGTATTGGGAAAAAAAAGAAGGAAATTTACCTGTAACTGATCAGCAATGTTGACGACGAAGGCATCTTTCACTGGCTTTACCGCAAACCATCGACCATGTTTGCAAACTTCCAGTCCCCCAACGTCGTCTTGGATGAGGATGCTGATAGCACGGGGGTCCGAGTGAGCCGACACGCCCTTGACGAGCTCCGGTGTGTGGTATGGAAGGTAGTAGTTCATGATGCATATGATCTTCTCGCCCATTACCTTAAGATCGTAACTTTTCTCCAAGCCAAGGCCCTTGGAAATATTATCGAGCAAGCAGTGTCCAAAGGTTGAGACCTGGTCATGGTACTCTTTCATTACTTCCCTGTTGCATCAATTTTGATTCAAGGACTTTTAGGCAAGAAAAAACTTTACCTGAAGCAACTCGGTGACTCTGGCCAAATGTCCTCCTCTCGAGCAAGACTATAGTCCAGCCTGAGGAAATACTTTAAGTCGATTGCTTTCGCGTCTTTCCTGTCGTTAAATCCAGAGCCATATCTATTGAAATGCCATGAGATTCTTGTTAGTTTTTATCTTTTATCTTTC